TCATTCTTACATTGTAATTGAGTTAAGGTGGTTGTCAAACATGCAACTTTTTACCTTCGGTTGTCAATGTCGTGTGTATGCTTGCATCTAGCAATGTTGTCTGAATAGTAGCTGCATGGCATGTACGTTGTATCATGCTAACTACTTTTCCTTTTCAAAATGATACATGACGGATGTCAAGATGAGAAAACAAGCACAACGAAATGACGAAGACAGCTTACAATTAGCATTCAATCGCCTCTGTTTGGCTACCATAGGTTAATCAAATCTGGACAAGCTCCCATTTTATCAATCGTGCCATAGATGGTGCAGGTTACACGAAGGTGTGTATTTTACATACACACCTGCCACACCAATTGGTGTGGCTGTCTGTACCTTGGGTATAAAGTAGGTGATGTGACCGTACCTGAAGTACGAAGTGTCACATCGTGGCAGAGAGCCACGTATTTATTTAAAGTATAGTAACTATGCATGTTTGCATAATAATAAAAGGCTAAAGAGCCAGTAATAGTGACTAGCACTAAGTATAGGTCTATATTTAGTGTTAGAAGATAAACATAAATATAAATCAGTTTCAAACCTGCTCTATAAGCATCACTGCTTGAGTTTTCTATTCCTCCTGAGGAATCGTATCATTGATACTAATCTCTTTGAGACTCGGTTAATACCGATAGGCACAAGCTTACGAGCTAGCCTAGGAGCGTTAAGCACCCTAAGACGTAGAGGCTCTCTGAGCTTGTCTTTCTCTGCACATAGTGCATACGTAGCTTTGCTACAGTAGTCTGACAACTTCTTCTGCACATAGTGCATCTCCACATAGTGCATAAGCAGCATAGCTACAGTAGCTCGGCTACACTAGGTAACAATGCACAGTAGTGTCTAGCACTAGCAAATATGCACAGTAGTGTCTAGCACTAGCGAATAAGCACCATAGTGTCTAGCACTAGCGAATAAGTACCATAGTGTCTAACACTAGCTTATAAAGCACCATAGTGTCTAACACTAGCTTATAAAGCACCTAAGTGCTCAACACTTCTGATAAAGCTTCATTGCTTAACACTTGCTTTTAAAGCACCTTACTGTTCAGCACTCGCGTATTTAACACGTGCTTGTAACGCACCTTAGTGTTGAACACTTGCTTTGGAAAAGCCTTTAAGTGCTTAACACTTGCTTATATAGTCCCAAAGTGTTGTACACTTCTGATAAAGCTTCATTGCTTGACACTTGCTTATATAAAGCCCCACAGTGTTACGTTTGCTTATAAAGCACAACATTGTTTACCACTTGCTTATTATAAAACCCCAAAGTGTTGTAAACTTGCTTATAAAGCTTCATTATGATTCACCCTTGCTTATAAAGCTTCATAATGATTTACGCGTGCTTATATGGCAGCTAAGTGTTTCACACTTACTTAAATGCACCAAAGTGCCCAGCACATATTCTCATTGAGCCATAAAGTGCTATAAAAAAATATAACCACTTGCTCTTCGAACTCCCAAAGTCTTTACGCCTTGCGTGTCATATAGACAAAGCCATATATGCCGTATTTCGTGCTTCAGAAGCAGATTACAGTACTTCTCACGCGAGTGAGGCACCGGCAACAGCAGGTGGCTCAAGTTGTATGTATGGGCTGGCACATATCTACGCACGTTTGAAACGTGTCAAAGGGTGAAACCCTCGCCTGGTATGGCTGCGCCTTTGACGAGTTTGCCTGTACCCTCGGGGTCGTGGCAGTCCATTAGTATAGACATCGTGGTTGGCCTATCGCGGGATGCGGCAGGAAACACTAGGATTGTGGCCTTTGTAGACCGATTGAGCAAGATGGCTCATCTAGCGGCAGTGACGGACTCCATTGATGAAAAAGGAACAGCTAAGCTGTTTATGGATCGTGTGTTTCGATGACACGGTTGCCTGTGGCAATCGTCTCTGATAGAGACCCCCCGTTTTACGGGTAAGTTTTGAACGTCAGTCCTTATAGCGCTTGGCACTCGACTGGACATGTCCACGGAGGATCATTCTCAGACCGATGGTCAGAACGCGTCAATCGCGTTATTGGTGATATGCTTCGCAGTGTTTGTGCTGAAACACCCAAGCAATGGAGCAAGATGCTGTTTCTCATAGATTTTGCGTTGAACAACGCGGTGCATGCCTCGACAGGCTTCACACCATTCTATGTGAATGGATTGGTCAACCCTCGTGTTCCTTTAACGCTACCCCTTGCCGCTTCAGGGCTTAGTGGGGGGAGAGATAGCCGAAGGCTTAGCTGATATCAGCCCTGTTGCGATTCGCAAGAAGGTGGAAGTGTTTCTGTCAACGCGTTTTGACGTATTACGTCACGTCAAAGACGCTATGGCTGAAAGCCAGGATGTTCAGAAGGAACAAGTTGATGCCAAGGCAGAAAGAACGATCATGAGTTGAAAGTGGGAGATTAGTTCTATTAAACGCTAGGAATTTACCGACACGTGTCGTTTCGGCGGTATATAAAACCAAACTACGTCCACGCTTTATTAGACTTTTCAAGGTCATAGGCAAGAAAGGTTTAGCCTATACGCTGAACCTTCCCAAGAAGATGAGAACACATCCTGTGTTCTACGTGGGCTTGCTAAAGCCATATCTCAACCCTGCCTCGGTGAACTTCGAGGGGTTGTCCCCATATCCCGGGCCGAAGGAGGCGAGTAGTACGGCACCGGAGGTGCATATGGACGCTGGAGGCGTACCAGGAGGTCAAACCGACATCGAAGCCCGGCTTGAGAACGCTCAATCGCCGCCGCTAAGTGATCCGAGGTCTCAGAGCGATAACGCTTAAAGGATCGACGGTGTCGATCGACACGGTCATCGAGCGATGGCAGGTGAGACTTCACTGATGCAAGAGCATCACGCTCCAGGAGTGTCAAGCGATGCTCAATCTCAGAGAGATCAGAGGTCAATGGGTCACCGACCTCCGCCGACGCTGATTGACGAACTGGTTCATCAACAGTTCCACGTAGACCTTCTCTTGGCTCGACGTCGTCACCAGGGTCATACCCAATATTTGGTGAAGTGGAGGGTTACCTCAGCCGTACGACTCGTGGGAGTACGAGGTGCCCCTCCTGCAGGATTGCCCTGAAGCCGTAGACGCTTTGACAAGGACGGTCAGAAGCGACGATATCAGTCATCTGACGCTTTCTAAGACTAGGTGCTGTGGAAGTTAGGCCAGTAGGCTGGCTTCGCCTCTAATCTTCTTAGGAAGCAGTTGCCGGTACCTCACTCGCGTGAGAATTACTATAATCTGCTTCTGAAGCACGAAATACGGCATATATGGCTTTGTCTATATGACACGCAAGGCGTAAAGACTTTGGGAGTTCGAAGAGCAAGTGGTTATATTTTTTTATAGCACTTTATGGCTCAATGAGAATATGTGCTGGGCACTTTGGTGCATTTAAGTAAGTGTGAAACACTTAGCTGCCATATAAGCACGCGTAAATCATTATGAAGCTTTATAAGCAAGGGTGAATCATAATGAAGCTTTATAAGCAAGTTTACAACACTTTGGGGTTTTATAATAAGCAAGTGGTAAACAATGTTGTGCTTTATAAGCAAACGTAACACTGTGGGGCTTTATATAAGCAAGTGTCAAGCAATGAAGCTTTATCAGAAGTGTACAACACTTTGGGACTATATAAGCAAGTGTTAAGCACTTAAAGGCTTTTCCAAAGCAAGTGTTCAACACTAAGGTGCGTTACAAGCACGTGTTAAATACGCGAGTGCTGAACAGTAAGGTGCTTTAAAAGCAAGTGTTAAGCAATGAAGCTTTATCAGAAGTGTTGAGCACTTAGGTGCTTTATAAGCTAGTGTTAGACACTATGGTGCTTTATAAGCTAGTGTTAGACACTATGGTACTTATTCGCTAGTGCTAGACACTATGGTGCTTATTCGCTAGTGCTAGACACTACTGTGCATATTTGCTAGTGCTAGACACTACTGTGCATTGTTACCTAGTGTAGCCGAGCTACTGTAGCTATGCTGCTTATGCACTATGTGGAGATGCACTATGTGCAGAAGAAGTTGTCAGACTACTGTAGCAAAGCTACGTATGCACTATGTGCAGAGAAAGACAAGCTCAGAGAGCCTCTACGTCTTAGGGTGCTTAACGCTCCTAGGCTAGCTCGTAAGCTTGTGCCTATCGGTATTAACCGAGTCTCAAAGAGATTAGTATCAATGATACGATTCCTCAGGAGGAATAGAAAACTCAAGCAGTGATGCTTATAGAGCAGGTTTGAAACTGATTTATATTTATGTTTATCTTCTAACACTAAATATAGACCTATACTTAGTGCTAGTCACTATTACTGGCTCTTTAGCCTTTTATTATTATGCAAACATGCATAGTTACTATACTTTAAATAAATACGTGGCTCTCTGCCACGATGTGACACTTCGTACTTCAGGTACGGTCACATCACCTACTTTATACCCAAGGTACAGACAGCCACACCAATTGGTGTGGCAGGTGTGTATGTAAAATACACACCTTCGTGTAACCTGCACCATCTATGGGCACGATTGATAAAATGGGAGCTTGTCCAGATTTGATTAACCTATGGTAGCCAAACAGAGGCGATTGAATGCTAATTGTAAGCTGTCTTCGTCATTTCGTTGTGCTTGTTTTCTCATCTTGACATCCGTCATGTATCATTTTGAAAAGGAAAAAGTAGTTAGCATGATACAACGTACATGCCATGCAGCTACTATTCAGACAACATTGCTAGATGCAAGCATACACACGACATTGACAACCGAAGGTAAAAAGTTGCATGTTTGACAACCACCTTAACTCAATTACAATGTAAGAATGATTAGCATACTGGAAAGAGTTTTTCTGAAAGACTTTAAAGTATATAATGTATAAAGTTTCTTTACTACCAGTACAGCCAGCCTAGCCATCCCAACTCGTTTATGAGTTGTTATGAATCGAATGCGACGTTGATCCGAACAACTAAACGGCATCATTGTTCCGTAGCTTAATGAAATACAGGATGAGCTAGCACTTGAGAGAGCGATATACGACGTTGAGGGTTAATTTGAAGCATCTTTTCCAATAGCATGATGGTGTTTTTTGATATACGATTTGAGTGACCCCATGAGTCAATTACAGCACCTACACCATGTTGAACGACAGCCTTAAAGCCTTTTACAGATGGTGATGCAAGTGACAGCAATGGTGAACCTGTCAGTAGAATGAACCACATGATACCTAGTGACCACACGTCGGCCAGCACAGGATCGTATCGCTCTCCTGCAACGACTTCTGGTGCCATATAAAACTCTTTACCCACTTGGCAACCGTCACACATACGTCGAGCGTCCGTGGAGAGTCCAAAGTCTGTAATTTTGCATACGCCACGACTTATGAGGACGTTCTCAAGAGACAAATCTCGATGTGCAACGCCTAGGATTGTGTGTAAATAGTAAACACCTGCTAAAACTTGTTCCATTAGTGGCAAAACCTCATGTTCCTCTAGAAATCTTGCTGCATCAAGACGTTCTGCTACAAGCGAGTGCAAATCTCCACCTTCACAAAGTTCATTCACAAGATACAATGTTTCATCGTAAACAAAGTGCAAATAAGGCTGTACGACATTACAGTGTCCTCCATTAGCTACAAGCAGGGCTGCCACTCGTTGTTCTTGAATGGGATTATCAATCTCTCGAGCAGTACGCACTTGACTTTGACGTTCATGTGCTTGCATAAGTGACAGACATTTTACTGCAACTGGCTCATCATGTCCAGGTAATTCACATTCAAGGACTTGACCATATAATGCAACACTTAATTGACGACGAACACGAAGAAGTGGAGGAGTCGTCATTAGAAGAAGAAAGAGCAAGCAAGAGAATGAATGAAGAATGAATGATTTTTGCCTTATGGTCGGACTTGTTAATGGTCGGCTATTTATTCATTTGATCTAGTCAATTTTAAGTGAGGAAGAAGAGAAGAAGAAGAAGGAGGATATGGAGCCAGAAGTCTTTCTACCGCCGACCACCATTGTAAGATCTTTCTTAGCCTGAAAACTGTAATCATTTATACCGTTTGAAATCATAGAATTGAACAATGTACGTGGATAGTAGGAAATGAAACTCTTGAATTAAATAATATTTATCTGAAATTGATTTGAAATGACAAACTTGCAATTAAAATCCCGATACAAATTTCGTCCGACGGATACGTCCGTACTTACATCCAACTTTCCTTGTTGTTCATGTAATAATCGACATTATGCTTCATTATTGTTCTTCTTCTGAAAGTTTCAGTTCAATAAACGACCAAATACCTTAGACCATTGCCAAACGTCGCAGAGTAGAACTTGACAAACACTCTTTATCTCATTTTAATTTTCCGTACAGCTACGTATATCCTACCACGATTTCCGTACAGTTACGTGAGTCCTACCATGAATGTGTAACTGTTATGTATGTCCTACCTCCTTTTAAATCCGATTGTGTCTTGGCAAATCCCCACCACACGTTTAACACGTAAAACACGCACAATGGCGTTACTCCGACGACTTGCGCGCTCTTCTTCCTCGGTACAAACTGCAACGTGGCAGTTGTTTGGTATATCTAGCCCTCAACGCAATGAATCGTCGTCTGCTCTATTGCAGTCACAGCGTCTGACACTCCGCACCTTTCATGCGTCAGCACAACGCGAAAACACGGCGCTGATCGCTGGTCTAGGCGTGGCTGGCGCTGCGTTGAGCACCAAGTATGTGTTGCAGATATGGACAGCTTACAAAAATCGCCCTAAACGTGAGAAAACAAGCTCTTGGAAATATCGTAATTTCTATGATGGCCCCTTTGAGGAAAAGATGACGCGACGCGAGGCTGCACTTATCTTGGGTGTGCGCGAGAGCGCGTCCGAGGAGCGGATTCGCAACGCACACCGTAAGCTGTTGATACTGAATCACCCGGACACAGGTGGCTCTACGTTTTTGGCCACAAAGATTAATCAAGCCAAGGAAATGTTGCTGAATGGCGGCAAATAGGAGACAGTTAGACAAGTTTTTGACTAACAAAGGCTTATTATTTCTCTCGGTCCATCTCTCTTTCTGATATGAATGGTGTCCAGGAGCGAAATTTCTAGAAATGATGAAGAGGTAGAGGTACTGCTGTTGAAATCGACTCAAGAAGGCAGTTGGCAGATTGCGTGACCGAATTAGTCGTCTCGAAGGAATAAAGAAAATCTTAGTCTTCATATATTTCTACGTGACACGAAGCAGTATTCACTTTAGTTTGCAGACAGATATGGGTGAAAAGATGCCTTACAGGGTGACTCCAGCTTGGGTGGCAGCGACGATATCGACAGATTGATCAAGTTTGTTGAGACGTCAGAAAGCTGTCGTTTGGCGCATCTAGTTTATTGTGTATGGGGATGGTTTGGGAGCTACTTAGTCTGGAACAGTCCAGCAAGCGTAAGGGCTATTTGAATTTGCACACTCGCTGTACAAAAACAGGTAATTGACCGCTACAGACATTGACACTTTGCGAACGGCAGTCCCGCATGCAAGCAGTTGCCTAAATCTTTCGAGACGATCACCAGATCTACAGCCTTTTCAACCAGCTTTTGCTGCTTCTCCCGCCGAAGCAAGTTTGTACGGCTACGATGTTTGTCTTCAGGAGTCGTCTTGCACACTCTCATAACAATGTACACGCTTCGTCAGTAACGCAGATACATGCACATTAGCTAGAAGATCTGTGTAATTATGTGCCTGTATGACATGTCAGTCGGCTACAAAACAATTTGTTTGTCATGACTGTTGATCGATAAAGCAGAATGATTTTGTAGCTGAGAAACATGTCATACATAGGCGGGAGACTACAGCTTAAGGCCTCAGAACTCGTTCATGCAACAACGTACAATGGGAGCATTCATTGAGTGTGACCACCCACATCCAATGGAAATATATAAAGGACAAACATGGGAAGAATTGATTGGATGCGAGGTGTTGTAGAACAATTAATAGAGATGTGTCACGTAATTGTCAGTTCGCTCTAGCTAAATAGTGCTCCCTATCGTTTATAAGAGCAATTATCTGAATATTGAAGGGACATCCTTTCTTACCGCATACGAAGCACCAATCAGCTCAGTATTCTATATTCAAGGTTCATGTAATAACCAAGCAATTTAGCACACAAAAGACTACAATGGCAGCTAAGGCAGGCAACGCGAGCGTGTTAGGTGGCAACTCGAGTGGCGAGTTTATTTCAGTTGCTGGTCTTCGTGTTGATGGTCGTCGTAGTGAAGAGGTTCGTCGCATTCGTATGCGTTTCGGCCTCTTTTCGCGCGTGGACGGCTCCTCGTATTACGAACAGGGTAATACTAAAGTGATAGCGGTAATTTATGGACCACGTGAGCTGCGTACGTCAGCTACAGGAAGCAATACAGCAGCCGTGGGAACGGGATCAGGTAGCGCTGCAAGCCATACGAATCCTCGTGCCTCCATCAACTGTGAATTCACTCAGGCGGCTTTTGCCACGTCAGAGCGCAAACTGCAGCGCAGCGGCGACCGTAAAAAGCTCGAGATGTCGCTGGCCGTCAAGCAGATCTTTGAAGCTTGCATCCAAACACAGCTCTATCCCCGCTCAGAAATTGATATCTTTGTACAAGTATTGCATGCCGATGGTGGAAAACTTCCGGCTAGTATCAACGCCATTACATTGGCGCTTATTGACGCAGGCATTGCACTTAATGATTTTGTGGTGGCATCATCCGCGGGGTATTTGCAACAAACAATGCTTTGTGGTAGGTGAAGATGGTCGATTTACTTTTTGTCTAAGCTAAGAAGGTGTTATTGACTATATGCTGGTGTTGTAATAGATCTCAATTACGCAGAGGAGGTGGCAAGAGCACCGCAGATGGTCATTGCCTTGAATCCACGTACGCAAAAGCTGAATTTGCTACAAATGGAGTGCAAACTCCCACTAGAACTATTTGAGAGCCTTATGGACGTGGCTATGGAGGGTTGCAACCAGATTTACGACCTGCTTCAAAACGCTGTGCGGGAAAACACATGGAAGCGCTTACGTTTTCGTGGTTCAGCAGTTGCATGAAGGTATTGATACCGGTACCAAGGAGGATGACAAAAAACATTTAGGCGTGGTCATTTAAATTTAATACTAAAGTTTGTAAGCTCCATGATAGCTGTTACTTGTATCGAAAGGTTTATTTATTTTAGCCAATCAAATGCCGTTGTCTTTTTCGCGGCAGTAAAAGTTTGAATTCGAGTTCTTTTGACGCGCCAACGCAGTGAGACTTCATTCTCGATCTTCTTCGCACACAATGGATCATTGCTCCACTATTACATTTCATCAAGCACTCTCTTGTTGCTCATCGGATACAAAAGAGAACGAGGAGCCCGTTGATGTCCGAATTACTGCCAAAGACTCTGTATCTGCTATAAAAGCATCCGTTAACAAGCAGATAACGACACCTTCGAGTACAAAAGGCACTATCAATCGCAAAGATCGCCGTGCACTTCACGATGTTGATAACAATTGTCCAAGAGTACAAGTGCATTCACCGTCATGTTCACAGCTGAACAGTTCTTCTTGCGTTTCCAAAGACGCAATTGAAGCCAAGAAAGTGCAAGTACAGTCGACATCATCAAAACAAGCCTTACATGAAGCAGATAAAACCGTAGAAGGGCTGGTAAAGGGTCACAAACGCTCTGTAGTTGCCGTTGATGATGATGAAAATTCCTATACAGATTCTAGCAGTCGATTGGATCATCTGGAGAGTGAGAATCTGGCATGGATGGATATGATGCTCGCCCTGTTGGAGAAGCGCTATGACGCTAATTTCGCACTACCCGTGTGTCTTACAGACCTAGAAGCTGCCAACGTATTACAGTTGCCCCAGCGTAAGAGGTTAAAGACTGGAATTGCTTCTGCTCAAGTTAAATCCAAGCGTGGCTTGGACACCACTCGACGTCAGACAACTTTCACCAATGCCTTCAACAATAGTAAAATGCCAGCAACAAAAGTACACCAGGCCTCAGAGCAACTAAACGAGAGAAAGCGACAGCGGTTGATACTGCGGCACGCGCAACAGATTCAGGCCTCAACAGTCTCATCGTCCACAAGCTGCGGGTGCAAGACTGGGTGCCTTAAGATGTATTGCCTGTGCTTTAGTTCCCGTGGATTCTGCCATGCGAGGTGCACTTGTGACGATTGCAAGAATAATCGCATGAACCAAACTGGACGTGTGGAAGCCATTCAGAATTATATAGCCAACGATCCACGTGCATTCTCATACGCGTTACTGCCCCAAGATACAAACAACACTTCGGGCTTTCTTCACCTTCTTCCACAGGTTTGGGGCCGATTTCAATGTGCTTAAATTTCATGCTTTGTTCCTAACAACTAATGCTTCTCTTTTCTCATCTGACGATAGAAATCGAGCGCAGTCGTGATGCGAGGATGTCGCTGCAAAAAGTCCAAATGTCTAAAGAAATACTGTGAATGTTTTCAGAACGGCATTGTGTGCACGTCGCACTGCCGCTGTATGGACTGCTCGAATCAAAGCGAGACATGCCACTTGAAAACAGTGGCCAATCAGTATAAATCGATACAAACTCGCACCTTCGACCGAAAGCCGTTTCATCCCGTTCAAATTACTGTGACCAAACAACCTCGTCGGAATTACGTAAGCAAGACCGTACGCTTGAATCTGTAGCTCGAGCGAAAATAAAATACCACAAACAAATAGAAACTTTATACTTGGATAATGACAAAATTGTGAGCATTTTAACCCCAAGTAAAGTTGCATAATGTTGCAGGAACAAGAGATAAATAACCACATTCAGTCGTGTTGCACATCTTTTTAAGAACCACTAACTCCGTGAACGATGCGTTAAGAAATAGTATCAATTAGGAAGCGCTATACCCGTAGAAACAATTTCTATTGGAGCTAGCAGACAAAACAAGCAGCGAGGACGGAAGAACAATGAGCCAGAAGATCATAAAAGCGTCAATGATGGTGATGAGTGTTGTAAAATGTCACCAAAGTACTTGAAAGTGTATTGCCCGTGATGTTTCCATACATAGGAAACAAATTTTGAAGCTTTGAGTGGTGCCAAGAGCTCAGTGCTGATTAGATCATGTCAACAATTGACTTAGTATCATTTCTAGTATTGTAGAATGAATTGGTTAAATTTATATTAGAGCTCGTTGACCTTAGAGTGAAGCGGTTGTTGAAAGAATAAGCCCGTGGACTTTCGTTAATGTGGATGAAACGCTGTTTGAATACAATGATGTCAATTAGATTGAATAGACTTTGAAAGGACAATAAATGGTTATCATCATGCGTTTGCATCCTCGTGTTCCTTCTGCTGTCAAAGGCGTGGTGTGACATCTTTGGCAGTAAATGATAAGTCGCCATGAGCATTAGCTGCAGTGACGGGGTTTCTCTCTTGGAAGGCTAGTACCATGGGTTTAACTGAATATTTCAGACACAAAGCAGCAAAAGCATTGTGCCATGTTCGACGTGCAAGAATTCTGCTGGTTGAATACTGCGCCAGCTATACCATTTAGCAATGGAAAACGGAAGGGTCTAAACGTACACGTTTAGACAACAGAAGGAGTGAAACTTGACAAGCTTGACTCAAGCTCGTGCATATTGACATTTAAGGACCAACAAGCAAAGCTTCGTGGACAAGGACCGAGTTTGTAGCGCTACTCTTTTCTTTGCATCCATCGTGGACATAGTGCTGGCATTTTGTTTGTGGCGGATTTGGTTTCAAGCGCTGTCTCGACAGCGAGTGGTAATGAGCCAATACAAGCATTCAGCTAACATGTCGTACAATCTAACTTTATTATCCTTTTGACACATTACTTTGAATTCGTTATTTCATTACTCGCACTTCGATGATGCACCATCATCAATTTGCACGCGCCTTGCAGTTAACATTCTCTCCGCTTGACGCTTTCTCAAAACTTTGTCAGTGTCTGACTGCAGTGCGATTATCTCATTGCGAGCTGTCGCAAGCATAGCAGGATGCTCTAATACCTCTTTCATGCTTTGAAGTCGCTTGGCCGGATCCACTGTGAGCATTTTCGCAAGTAGATCTAACGTAGCAGCCGAGAACAGGCAATCCATTCCCCACAGTCTTAGCACTCCCTTACAGCCAACGGCCTTCACAAGCTCAAAACCACGACACTCTGGAAACGGTAGTCGCAACAGCGGTAAACCCGTCAGCAAGACAAAGAACACGGCACCTAGCGACCACACGTCGGCACGAATGACGTCGTACCATGTGCCACTCACGGCTTCGGGCGCTGTGTAATGCAAGTTGCCAGATACGCGATCACGACAAGGTTCTGTTGCTCGGGTGGTGCTCGCACCAAAGTTGCAGATCTTGATATCTCCAGTGCTGCTGATTAGAATATTCTCTGGACATAAGTCGCGATGTGCGATACCGCCCGTGTGCAAATAACGCAGGCCTCTTGCAAGTTGCAAGACCCAGTGACGAGCTTCTTGCTGCGAGACTCGGTGAGACGGTTGAGGACCTAACGCGCCTCTGCTAATTAGCTGGGAAAGCAGATCTCCACCTGGACAGTACTCCATGATTAGACGAAAAGACTCGCTTTCCACATTTGTCGTGTAATAGCGAACAATATGGCGTCGGCCGTCCACAAAAATGCGGTCGGTACTACGCGAAGTGCTTCTCCGGGCGATATGATTGTCTGTCTCCCGCTGCAGCTCCAAAAGTCTTTGAACTGTGCGCCATTCTTGCCATGTCCGATGACCGCCTCCGCCGTTGCGGACCGAGTCCAGTGTGAGCGCCCGCACTTTAACGGCTACTTGAAAGAGCTCCATACCGACAGCATCGGGAAGTACCTCCATCGAACCTACATAGACTTGTCTTGTCAAACGTCGCGTGAGTTTTACCCAAGTGGACGTTGATTCAGACACTGTTCTGGTGCGATTCGTGATTGACGACTCGGATGATCGTTGTTGTAAAGGAGACCGAGCAGCCATGTAAGAAAAGGATATATGTGTTTAAACTGACTTACTACTGCTTACTCAATGAATGAAGAAGATCAAATAGCTATGGTCGATAATGCTTTTTGAAAATGGTGTTAGTCACCGCTTAAGGACGTGTCACCGTTAAACTCAGTTCTCAAGTGAAGAGGCCACAATGATAAGTGGAAATATAACTTACGATTCTACACGGTTGTGCTGCTCTTCCGTGATAGCGTTAATGGATTGGGGCTCAATGGCAGGCAGGCAGCGCCCAGCACAGCGCATGGGCCTATGTTAATCATTTTCTCACCCCTGCTGCAAGCAGCATGGCGCTTCTGCGGTAGGATAGGTGTATGGCCTTTTTTCTTGGACATGTTAACAATCAGCAGTAGCAAAAACTACTTGAGCTATTTAACAAAGCAGTCTAAGAACTACTCTTGAACTTTTTCAACGCTGTAGAAAACGCTTTTGAAATTTGACTAGCCAGCCATTACGAGAGGATTGTAGCAATGCTGCTGTCCCGTAACGTTCGAGAACGTGCATTAAATTTTTTAGTGCTGTGTATGAATACTAGCATAGCATCGATCTTGACTCAAGTGTTGTCATTATGCACAATTTCTGAGGTAGTTCAGATTGATTTTGTCTCCATTGCGATCGTGCAGCGTCTTATTCGTCTCATCTGATGAAAAAACCAACAACAATGGGACGTTTTACCGTTGCGATGTAGCCTAAACCTGTCAATTAGCATGTAATCGAATTTCAACCACCTCATAAACTATCATTTATCTTCCTACTGTTCGTCATAAAAGATAAACTCCACCGTATGTATGCGAAATCGATTTGGTTCTTCTTCATTTGTTCATGACCAGGAGGAAGATCATTTGTACTGACCATTAACTGCCACATACATACACACATTCAAGTTTTCTGGTAAGACCATCGACAATAGCCTCAAGACAGTCGTCATCCAACCTGTTTATGTCATTAGTCTTGCCCTTTTTCTTCGAGTTGCAGCAGCTGCTACGTACTGGCCTTTTTGGCTTTAGATGCTGCACAAAGCGACTTGCAGGCTAATGTCGTGTATTGTTGCTGTATAGCGAGGTAGTTTGTTGTAAAGCAGTAGATGAAACATTAAAGCTAGCGTGCGTAGTTTGAAGCTGAGACCGATAGGCATGACAAAATGCACTTGAAGCGTTGACGTAAAGGTGGTGAAAATTCATTTTGGTCAGCTAAACCACGGTCCATGTACATTGTATCGACGTCTGACTTGCCAAATCCCAAATCCAGCTTGCTGAAAGCTAATTGTCGAAGAGAGAAGGACAAATCATGCAAATCCTGATTGTAAGGATTGGATCAAGCCGGATTACTTGCAGATAACTTTCCGTCTTGGCTGCTGAGTGACGATCATTTCCGAAGTCGGTGATCAATCCGTCCAGTGAAGCGTATTGAGCCCAGAGTATGTGTGTCTCCTCTCCACCACCAATATCAAAGAAAGAGGTGATAATTGGTTAACAGTAGGTGTCAATACGGCAAACCAGGCACGATAAACGAAGGTAAGAAGATCCATAAACAGACCTTTTGCTCGATTTGATTGTGCCTTGACTATCCTGATGTTCAGCTAAATGCAGAGATCGCATAATTTCAATTCAATGATCTCAGACTGGCTCCGTGGCACGAAAGCAAACAGCACAACACAAATCATAGCATGGGATGGAACTCAGCGGGAATTCTTTTTTTTCTTTTCTAAGGCACTGGAGCGATCATATATTTCACTTAATAGGATACAGCTATGCATGCACCACAACGAAGATGAAAGTTTGGGAACGTTGCTGCTCAGTTCGTCTTGTCCAATGTGAGAAAAATAGCCACACGATTATTTGAAATGATGTCTAGCAACGGAATTGGAAAGATCCACCAGCGTTCCACTATCACTATGTCTATTACTGCGAAGCAGTGTCGCAGCAGCAAGGATGCATCTCTGACCAGATTTTCTATCAACCTAGTCCTCCATAGCGTCTCCAAGGCTTGCACTAGTTAATCGGAGGAACAACATTACGCTATCAAGCACTTTGCCTTAATGTCCGATAAGGCCATGCACGGGTAACGCTGTAATGACATTTTATCTCGTATCTGATTTCGACTCGTTAGTTGCATGGACGAAGACTGCAATGTTCTTCTTTCCTCGAACAGTACAGGTACTATAATACTATTCTGACAACCAGAGTGTTTTCTAATCCAAAGGTGTGAGTTGTCGCCCTCATTCATGGCTGCCGCTACAAAGTGTGGTAAAAGCAGATCTCAAGTAGCAGCAGTTTGTCTTGGAAGGATAGATAATACTAGTGTTTTCAGTGGACCTTAGAATAGCGCGTTCTGGTCAAAGTTTAGTACACTTGCAATGAATTGACATGTACGCTTGGCACATTATCAGTAGCAGCGATAGCCAATACAGCTTCGTTCATGGCTCTTTAATCTTACTAAAACCTTTGCAACAACCTGTAACATATGCGGGATATAAGACTTATCCAATTACTTTTCTACCTTGACCTCAAAATGTGATTGATAGAGGAAATAGTAGCGTAACGTTTCCACGTACTAACGCAACAATAACGACGTTCTGATTTATTACCAAACGGAAAACTACGTTGAGTCGACACGAACTTGAATGTCAAACTATGCCAACAAGAGCGGAAAGGCCGTTTATAGAATGACTGGCAAATATACTTGACTTTTGATGACGATAACTAGAAGCTTGAGGTCAATATGTGCTGCATTTGCTCTTGACTACAATGACCGTTACAACATGGGTACATAATAAAAAGTTGTGATTGGCTGATATGGTTATCAATATCCTCCAATCTCTTTCTCATGCTGATGATGTCCACGTGATCCGTCAATTGCTCGACAAAGTGCCAATGATGCTCCGCATGCGGCTTCGTATCCATCGATCTCGTGATCAGTTGCACCGTCTTCAGTACTCAGCGGCTTCTACTTTATCTTTGTCTTCTTCTTCTGCATCTTCTACTTCATCTACCACTTCCACGGGCTCTGACTCGTCCTCTGGAGCCAATGGGAGCGGAGAAAAAGAACCTAAATACAAGCCTGGATGGTTCAGTCGTAACCCGGGCGTGACGCTAGGCGGTATCCTCTTGGGTATTGGACTTTATATCTACAGAGGTTCTAGAGGAAAGAAAAACTTTGAGGCATTGCAGAATCCCATTGCAGAGGCAGCGGTTATCTCACCCTATGAGGCTTGGGAACTTCGCAGCAACAACAACATTACGTAGGATAAAGTACCTGTATCTTCTACTTAAGGCTCTTTGATACAGCAATATATGGTGCTGATGCTTCTGTTTGATGGTGTTATTGATCTGAATATAGATCTAAAGTCTTTGAAGACATAAGGGATGGAGTGACAAGGGCATTTCCTGAAGGCAAGGCAACAATGCAGCATTTTGACCAATATCTCGGCTTCAAGCTCGCTCAAGCGTGTTCAACGGGCGTGAACAAGGCCTATCATCTAGAAAGAGTGTTGATGAGTCTAAACTCGGACGCGGACCACAAGAGTGACGTTGATGCGCAAATGGTAGCCTTCTCTTTGGCCGTCAAGGGAAACGTAGATGAACGTTTGCGGATTCTGTTCAACTTGGCAACAAAAGCGCCGGCAGGTGAAGCGCTCACGACACTTGCAGAAGACAAGATAGAGAAGATCGACACACGTGAGATTTCCCAGGAGCAGTTGGAGCGATTGATTGAGCTGCTGCTTGAGACGTACCAGATTCCGTCCGAGAAGCGTGTGCTGGCTGTAGAAGATGCCAAGTTTCCATTCCAAGAGTATATTGTAGCAACTCCGTCCGATATGCTCAAGGCTGCTGTACAGGGTCAAGTAAAGGACAAGAAGATCACGGAAGAGGAAGCACGGGAGCGCCAGACGTACACGTTCGACGCCTTTTCGCAAATCATGCGTGGCAAGACCGTGTGTTTGTGGGGTGAATGTTTTTCCAACAGCAAGAAGAAAATGAAGAATTGATTCCCGTAGTCGACATGTAAATTCACTTACTGCTTCACAAATAGTCTCTTTTCCTTCATGGGATTATCTATGTCGTAGAATTGAAGATGAAGACACTATTTAATGATTGGTCTGCTCCATATGAGCGAGTCGCATCATGGGATGCATTTCTACCTCATTCATCTCCTGCAACACCATCGCTACATTGTAACGCAATTGATGAAACTGTTCCATGGGCACATGAATCGTCCGCGTCTCACCGTCTGATGTCTGTAACCGCATCAATACGCGCTTTCCTTCCTCACTCTTCACTGCTACTTTCCAATGCAATTGCTGCAATCTTGGTAGTGAAAACGTTGTGTTTTTTGCAGCCTTCGTCAATGCATTCCAATGCAACTCGAGTAGCTGTTGGAATCGCAATTGACAAGCGTCAGGCATATTCTGTATAAACATCTGGTGCCTCGTTTGCTCGATCTTTCGTGACGCCGTCTCGTCATTAAGTACTGAAGGCCAAAGAAACGTCATATGCTCCCGGACTGCAATTTCCACCAATCGTCGAAGTTCCACGGCCAAAGTCAGAAATTCCTGTCGATCCTCGTCACAGACGGTTTCAATCACGCGTTCGGCTTGAATGTTGTCTTCAGAATAAAGAGCAACTGCCAATTGCATTGCAGAGTCCAGATAACGAGACATACAAGTTTCATGAACCTCGTGTAACACAAGACAAGTATGAGATGAACAAGACGTTACACTTGTGTTTACTATTAAGCTTCCGTGTCGCATAGTATTTGCTTTCTATCACTTTTCTGTAAGAAACCTCGACTGTATCAGATCTGAGGTTTTGATGTCAGAATCAGAAGTGCTGGATATGGTCTGATTCCGTGCTACAGCTCATATCAGTCAGTGGTCAATGATAAGACTATTTTGAATACACGGACCTTCTTCGACAAAGGAATCGACATTGATTATGTAGAGAGCTTTGAAAACCACGGGCTATTACAACACAAGCTCTGTCTAAATCTTATAGATTCATTGCCAGATATGTCTTGACAACTTGCTGGAGTTGCGAGACTCGAATCAAAGTCGATTCTTTGATAGAAATGCAGTCTGCAGTGCAAACGACACCAAGTAAAGTAGAGTGCATCTATGGTTAGCAAGAACTGAATGAGGACTAGTCACAACGCTCGAGCCACGCGATTGTTTCAATATGAAGAGTATGCGGAAGCATGTCAACCGGCTGTAAATGCAGCACCCGGTAGGTGCTAGATTCTCCGATTTCAGGCTTTGCCTGAGCACAGAAAGCTTTGAGATCAGAAGCTTGCGAGTGTGGATTGCACGATACGTAGCAAATGTGACGTGGTGCCATGCGCCGCAGCATCTTAATGAGCTTTTTGTGCAGTCCTGCTCGTGGAGGATCAACGATCACCATGTCTGGGAAGTCAGCAAACACGAAATCCGAGCACGAATCGATTTTCTTTCGAAGATCTTCTTCCTGCCAGCTCTTAGTCAAGTCGACGCAAAAGAACTGCATATGGTTAGAAGCATACCCGTTCAACCGGGCATTGACGTTAGCGCGCTCGACGGCCGCATCAACAAGCTCAAACCCCACAACAGCTTTGGCATACGACCCCACACAAATTCCAATGCTACCGACGCCACAAAAGAGGTCCCATACCACGGGTTTCTCTGGAAGCAATGCCATCATGTGCTGAATCTCGCGATAAAGAACGCCTGCCTGTGCTGAGTTCGGCTGAAAGAAAGACCCGAGAGATATCTTGAAGTTGTGGTCCAAAATTGTGTCTTCTAGATGCGAGTCGCCATAGAGAATGCGTTCGCGGGCGATGCCTGCGGTAAGATTATCGGTTGTACTGTTTCTCTTGCAAGAATGACGCTGAGCTTCGCAATCGAGACTTTCCACGACGGATACGAGTCGTGTAGCATCGCCAGTTTCAGCTGGAAGATCATTCTTACAGTCTTCAACAATGCTCTGCACAATGCCCTTCAGCAGTTCGCTTTGTTCCCCATCAAATGTTGTAGTGACAAGTCCTAGCATAATTTCTGTATGACTCTCACGGTTTACACCGCGGCGCAATACAATTTGTTTAAGAAAACCTTTGTGTGTGCTAAAGTCATACGCCTCTAGACCTGCGCTCTCACATCTCGTCACTAGCTGCTGGAGCAAACGGTTGCAAGCTGAATGCTGCAGCAAACATTCCTTTAGCGACAAGATCCTGGGGCTCCACGCAGTAGCACAACGTCGACGTGCTTTAATTTTGCTACGAACTTGCTTTGACCGTCGAGTATTGACCGAAGATACGGGAAACATTCCAACTGTAAACGGATAGCAAGAAGAAGCTGCAGCAGAATTGCCATGGTCTGAAAACTTGTCTTCGTCCAACAACCAACGACCTGCACTGCACGTAAACTCCATCTTGTTACGGTAATGGTAAGTTCCAATATGTTCTCCATCAGTCTCGACACCTCGAATTTCACGGATTTCCATGTCTGGCGAATGCTCCCTCAAAGCAAAGAGTTGATGGATCCATTTTTCTTTTTCTACAAGTTGATGGGCATAACTTACATGCTGCAGTTTACAACCACCACATATACCAAAGTATTTGCTGCACCGAGGATGTTCTCGATGATTACTGGGCTTCCAGACATGACATTGTTGTCCAAATAGTGGCCATGTGCTCTGAGATTTATGAGCAGCCCATTTTACTCTCGATTGGACATCACGGTCCCAAATTTCAACCTCAAGCTCATCGCCTGGAGCTGTAAATGGCACCATCACTTGTATCTTTAGACCTTCTTCAGTAATGTACGTACCAACACCATCGCCTTGGTCATTTATCTTGTCGATTGACTGTAAATGATTGCAACGGAAGATGGTTAATAGTGACACTAAACGGTTGCAAACATATAACATTTGTACTAAAACACACTAGAGGAATCAAGCGCTTGCCATTCGACTCAACTGAGTTTGTAGTCGGTCTTGCAATGGAAAATAGACGAGAGACGCAGTTTGTGCCTTGGCGAGGTAGATGAATCGTCCATTGCCGCATGTGCTCTAGCATCCGAACCAGTCTATGGAGGAGCTTGACAGAATATTAACCAATCAAAGCATGAGATGGCGATGTGCAAATCATGTATAGAGGCCCTGTATATTATCGATATGCCGTAAATCAAAGTGTCAAATATGGCGCTCTCTATCTTACCACTTTATTTTTTGGCACCGTAAAACATGTGAAAAACTTGCATCTGTTAGTGTCACACGCTGTAATTTACTGCATCGTCGTGGAATGTCATTTATATTAAAGTTACACACGTCCCATTCGACTTCATGAGGACGATTCTTGATGACAAATTGCAGCGAGCAATGCCGGATGACTGAGCACTTGCGCCATATTCTGCAGACGTTTTATGGGATCAAATTCCAGCATCTTGGATAACAAATTCATAACAGAAGTGGAGAGCTGAGTGTCCATTCCCCACGACCTAATGACACCGCAACAGCCCATGGTCTTGATCGTCTCAAACTCGGGATTATCAGGTGACGCAAACTCGAGCAGTGGGGCTCCAGTCAGCAGCATGAAGAGTAGAATCCCCAGCGACCAGACGTCTGCAGTCACGGGATCATAGCTTGTCTCCACAACAACCTCTGGAGCCACATACTGCGTCTTGCCCACGCACCCACTCGCTCTCGTGTCTGCTCGGGTGCTGAGTCCAAAGTCGCCAATCTTGTAGACCTCGTCGTGAGTCACAAAGACGTTCTCGAGCGACACGTCACGGTGTGCAATATTGCACGTCTCGTGTAGAAACTGGAGGCCTCTCGCCAGATGCGATACAATACGCAGTGCGTGCTGTTGGTCAAGGCGACTTTCAGGCTGTGTAGCCATTAGATCAGTCAATAAATCACCGCGCGTGCAGTGTTCCATGACAATAAATACATGCGAGTTTCGCACAAACGTGTCAAAGACTTGTACGACGTTTGGGTGGCGTTCAGCAATGCTGCGCAATTGTCGCGTCGCCTGCCACTCTTTCCACGGGCCTTGAAGGCGGCCAGTCGCGTTATCTCGCTGTAATTGACCAGAATGCTTGACCACCACCGCTTTTGAAGTAGAGTTGGTGCTACTAGTGCAGTAAATATGCCCTAGGTAGATCTGTGGTGCAAGACGTGAGCTGACCTTGATGTGACGATGCATATTGGTACAGCTACTGCTAGAGCTCTGTGCTTTAGTGTTTGTATCACCTTTATGATTATGTTCATAGATTAATGTAGTTGTCATGAATGAATAAAGAAAACAGCGTAATTTGTTACAATGGAAAGGTGGAAAGTCCTCGAGTGTCGTTGGGTGGTCCTCGACAGATATAGAGTCAAGTTGAAGTAGGGACGTCTAAGACGCAGTTATTTTTGCCACGTCGCATGTTGTCATGTAGATTCTATATACGAATCAAAAGCAAACACGTCGCCTGCGTAGGCAGTGTTATAGCCTGGACAAATCGTTTTGGTCGTGCCTACTGCAGCTGTGACATGCACATCATCTATTTAATATCATCAAGTGTTGGAGTACAAAGTTATCGATATGAACCACTGCATCAATTTGTCAGTGTGAGAATTCGCAAGAAGAAAGAGTTCGTAATCTCTCATGACACGCCATCATAAATGTACTTCAACTTGAGGGTTGTCCGAAGGAAGATCTACTGGTTTCAAACTACCCACGTGGTTATTGCCTAGAATAGTCTACAAAGGCAAAGCTTGCCGTCGGCATTGTTCCCACTACTCTTGTTGATGTGCAAATTGTGCGTCATGCGGTCGTAAAAAAAGAGCTTCAGCTGCTTTCCTGTGCTAATAGCTGTAATAGTTCTTTGTGGTGCAGAAGCATCGGCGGCGAATGACACGTCTCTGTCGCTTTAGTGTCAATAGCTGTCATCTCGCCTGTCACATCAAATACGACGATGACGCTGCAGCGTGGACGCAAGGACATAACCAAAAGTATTGAATTGATTGCACTTATACGTAGTCTTTTTTTAATAGAGCTACCCACGAGATCACCACAAAGCGAATGCGTAATGATCTCTCTCATTTTAATGCCAGCGCTCGCCTTACAAAAGCACTTGAGATCGTGTCATCATTTACCTGCTAATCCCACGTACCTGATGGGCGTAATCGCATCAGACGATCCATTGATATTAGTCACACGTTATCATATAGCATAGTCCTTACTCAACTTCAACAGCCAGTCGTTGCTATAGATTAGCTAAATGACTAGAAACATTAAAGAATCCCGGCCATGACAATAGCCGCCTGACATTCGGGCAGCCAAGTGCGTTGGCACGGTGTAATTTAGGTCCTCCTAACTGAATCAATTGCATCCTTGGCCCATCCGTGACAAGATATTAGCATTTTACCATCTAGTACAGCTCTCGAGCAATGCCTCTGGTCGATTCTATCATAATTGCTCGTGTGGTGCGTCGTTGACGACGACGACTAGGAGACTTGGATCTATAATGAAAAAGTTAGACAGCTCGGATGCTTAAAGCCACACACATTGACCTGTCAGTCCACGCTGGACAGTAAGTTATCTCAGAGTCTTGAGACTGCAATCTCTTGCTAAGGTGCTACAAAAGCTTTTGATAAGGTTAGTCGGTAGCTATGTGCGGTATCTGACCTCACCACTTACAACGAGCACAGTGATCGTCAGCTTATATTCACTTGTCGAACTAGAGAGAAAAAAGTTGTCGGTGCTAGAAGGTTGAGTGTAAAGAGGTTAATTTAGAGATCCTAAGTTCGCAAACTTGCTACGTCTAAGCTTTCTGCCTTCCTCTGATATTCACACGCTAGCCTAGACGTCTCCACTTGACTGCTACTTCCATTTGCAATGTCTTGGATAAATGTAGATACGAGATGCTTTAGTCGTTGGTAACAAGCAAAAGTTTTACACCAGCATCTTCTCGGTGTCGCACATCTTGTAAAGGCTTGTTGCTAACACGTCCAGCGCTCTCAATCTGCGGCCAACGTGGAATGATAAGGCGTCTTTCAAGATGTTCTTCAATTCGGCTTGGTGCCCCTCCATTTGGAATCAATCCCTCTCTTCAAGCACAAAAGTGATGAGATGATTTGTGCTGCAGTGTATAAGCTCGTCAGACTGCTACTAGCTAATGATACTTGCTCGACATAAGTTTTGCTTTCAGAGCAAAGGCTACCTGCTTTGTTGCTGATGAAAGCTGCCTAGCTCTACTTTGCAGCTCTACGGAAATCGTTTTCGGTATCAAAGCTTCTTAGCACGCATTTCGCCGACCAAGAAACAAGAAGTTCTCAATATCGCTCGGCTCTAGACTTGACTACACTGTCGGAATATACACAATCTCTTCTGCAGACATGGTCCCAGGCTCGGCGCGTTCTCGTCATCCTCCTCATCTTCGTCTCATACAAATATGTATCGGAACCATGCGCATGCGTCAGTTTCGTCTCCAGTTGAACGTTCATTGTTTATTGTGTGTTCTAGATTCCTTGGTTGCAATGAGCATGATACCAATTGCAACATTAGACGGCACCTACATAGGTAACAACTTGACTGTTTTGCAACGCACCGGTGCTTGCAGTAGATCATTACTACGCCTGCACCACCAACCAAGCTTGGTGCTTATACACCCGACGCGTATCGACCAAACGTCGTTCGTCCGCAATTTCGTACGTGGCACTGTGACCATAGGCATCATGGCAGTGACGTTTCTCGGTCTTCGCAACGTTTTGGGCCTCGCATTCTGGAAATCGAAGTCGCGATGAATCTCTAAACTCGATGTCCGACCGACTTATTGGCAGCGATGAATGACCCTACAGGATGGCAACGCTGCAAGAAAAAGTTGAAGAGGTTAAGGAGGTTTGCTAAATCGCGAGGGAAATCGAAGTAAGACGATGTTGAAAAACGAGTGTCGCTCGAAGTTATTCGGCATATGAATACAGAAATATCCTACACGTCGTGGTTAGAGTCTTTCTTCGCGCTGGGAGTCCTCCATCCTGTCGATCTACAAGTTTGACGTCGAAAAAGACATACCAGTGTTTCCATGTTATGTCAGCTTTCTAGGAGAAATGCAATACATCTCACGAAGAGGACCAAGTGCATGTGTAAGATACGCTACCCAATCAAGTTCTTCCTGCAGTGCAGCCTGAACACACTTAGATAGATTCGCGACTTCTTGCTGGAGCACCTGGAGCTCATGCTCAATGGATTCCACGGACCGTTTTTCATATTCTTTGAGTTGAGCTTCAATGTGAAGTAACCGACAGAGCTCTGACTGGAGTTCCTCAAGCTGGTGTTGTTGATAAGATACGTCCATCTATATTGCAAATGAGGCAAGCAAAAAGCGAGTGATTTCACGAGTTATGACGAAGACTTGGCTAAACCACGTACGTTGTTACGCTTTGCCTGCTGAAGTGAGGCCGTTAGCACTTGAGCTTTCCGGCGAAGTTCATTACGCTCGGTACCACATATCTCATGCACAACTTTAGCAGTCGAATCACCAAAATTTGTTGGCGAAATGTCTTGCCTTGTTGATTGTGATTCCTTTACCGTGTTTGCTTCCGTAGACAAACCAAGCGCGCTTAAACTACATGCAAGTAGGGGTACAAGAACATAGAGAAAGGATGGCAAGACAAACCAGTATTTGCTTCGGCTATTCAATCAATAAGCGGTAGAAGCAAGAGAGCCGTACGGTGACGACTGAAGTTGATGACTTTCACCTATATCTTGCTCCTGGACTTGAATTTTTTCTTCCGGTTCGTCTGGCTGCGACTCAGTGACTGTATTGCAATTTCTAGCTGCAGTCGCTGTTGTAGACACAGACTTGCTTTTGGAAGTAGCCTTTTTCAACATCTCTTGAATTTCAGGTATTAATAGCATCTCATTTACACTCACTTCGAACAGATCGGTTGGTGTCTTATGCGAAGACATAGCGGGGGGAGAAATATAAGAATGTCTGACAGGAGGAATGGATGAAGTCATGTACCTTTGATAGAACTTGTCTGGGACTGAGGTCGATGTTTCTACCAATGTCGCAGTGCTTGAGTGCATTCACATACTACACCTTGTCGCTTCCAAACACAAAAGTCAAATCAAAAACAAAAGTGTTCCTTTCGGTTGAACAATTCGGTTCAGTGACGAATAGTACAACGCAGTTAAGAGCGTTGAAATCAATCAAGTAACTTCAAATGTATTTAGCGACCGGCTCACCACCTACTATCATCATACATTCAAGTTGTTGGCTAAGTTCATGTGGATTCAGGAATCCGACGAAGGTGATCATTTGAAGCACTATCTCGTTTTTTGCGAAGGTGATCACTCATCAGTTCAACCTGCCACGAAAATCAACAATAATCATCAGTTTTTGATTGAAACAAAGCCTTCTTTCATCCAGACGCAACAACATCGAAAAAAACAACATGTATCCATTTACCCAGTCGAGTTCTTCTTTCGCGGCATCTTGTATCGTCTTCGTAAGACTAGCGACTTCATTTTCATGCGTTTTTAGCTCAGTCTGAAGTGAGGTGACAGACCGTTGTTGGTATTGCTTCCACTGTGACTCGTATTCATGTAAGTGAGCCAATTCCGATTGAAGTTCCTGAATTTGCATCTTCTGGTGGCGTATTTGTTCCTACAGCTCGAAAAAAACAAGTTTAAGCCGCAGATAAGTTCTGCAAGAATCAACTTTGCAACAAGCAATGAGAATTACGTACCTTTCTCCGTTTACGATATCGACGCGACGCCGTTTGCATTCGTAGCTTTCGTCGAAGTTCGTTAAATTCAGCCGAGTTCATCAAGTGCACACGCTGACCCGTTGGCAATACCTTCGACATTGACGACGATTTCTTTTTCGGACTGAAAACAACTGTTGAACTCCTTGGACTTGACGGCTTTTCTGATGCAAGAGCTGCGATTTGACTCGGCACAGACATCGAAGCTGGCGGTGGGTCCGTTTCAAAAGCAGTCGAAACCTCTCGAGCGTCTCCAGCGTGGATCTGTTGAATAGTAGCATAGCTAACACGATGTTGAGTAAGATATTCAAAGACATCAGCAACTTATAAAAAGGCATCAAGGGGTTAACCTACGATGGATCAGAGGACACTGGCAATCTTGTTGATGCATCACGAGCCAGCGGCATGAGTGATCTGGGTCTTCGTTTACCCATTACCGAACAATATTCAAGAAAAACGATGAGGTCGATATAAGTTAGACGTTCTTTTGTTACTATCATCAGCATTTGAGTCTATCGTGATCAAAGTTAGCGCACGTAACGACTCAAACTGTTTATGGAATAGATGGCTGCATACATTGGGTCCTGCATCTGTGTCTGCTGGGGTAGGAGGTCTACTGCTGCTGACTCTGCTCTCGGTTGCACGTCCCTCTGCTCTGCTGAAGGTTTTTTTTCGCCACTTGGCTTTTCGTTCTCGGTCGATGTCGTCTTTACTGAATAGGATTTTGGTGCCTCAACGTCATCGGCGCAGGAACAGTCGACGATTTTTTTCATCGCTTCGTTCATAGATTCGTTATTACTTGAGCCATATGCAGAGCTGCGATCAAACTCTGTCCCAAGAGAATCGTGACGGGTATTCCGGTCAGTGCAGCTGTTTGCAGTCGAAGCTGATTGTTCTGGGCTATTGTTGGAACTATCCATCGCCAGAAGTTCCAGAATCTCCTGCATCATGAGTTGATCGTCCGTTCCTAGATCAAAGGGATCTCTTGGTTGTCGCCAAGACATGAGCCGCCTTTGCGAAGGAGAAAAGAAGTGAATACAACTACTTCCTTGCGCTGAAATATGAGACGTGAGAGTTCACGTCCCATAACCGTTGAGCTGCTGTCTTGGTTTTTGATTGTTGCCACTATCCCTGATTCACGCTTGGTCATTCCAGAGAGGCAGTGGACGTTAGGTATACCATTCGTACGTCCTTTCAGTTGAACGACTCACTGCAGAGGACTAGGTAAGGAATTTGTCATCTTGACACCAATCGTAAGCGAACAGCAGTTGTGTTGCTACAATTCAGCAACACATGTCTGGGACTTTCCATCAAACAGCAACGCATGTCTGGGACTTTCCATCAAACAGCAACGCATGTCTGGGACTTTCCACTATACAGCAACGCCATGTCTATGCAGACATTTATCATCACGACCTCTACCGAAGCAGCTCTTGCGGGAGCACAACCGTGAGCATCTTCTTTTGCGTTACCATTTTATCAGTGATTCGGGTCTGGAACAGACAAGCGTGTCACAGATGCAGGCCCTATTCAAAGGAACTGCCGGTCACAACTATTTGCTAAGTTCTCGCCGAATCGTCCTTCACGATGAGCGCATTCGTGCGTATGTATCCGACGATGAGCAAACATCATTGCAACTGGTGATTGAGTCATTGACGAGCCGCGTGCCACAATGCGACTATTGCTGTAGACTGTTATTTACTTTTCGCAGTGTTAAGACGCGAGTCAATGGCAACAGCAAATACCTTCTTCTAGCTGGTATGCTGCCACTGAAGGCTTCTTTCTACACACAAGTCGAACGTAACCTCTTGAGAAAAATTTGAACATTGCGTGACCTCAACTGTATCAATGTGCACCTCGCATCAAATAGATAGATAACACCTTGTTTGCAGCTCTCGAACCTTCCTTCTACTTGTACGGAGTCAGATACATTAGACGCATGAGCAGTCACCATGAAGTCACAATGACAGATACGTTGTCATATTTACAAACGTCAGCAAGTTGCAACAAGTTCACCCAAGATAAAGACCATGAATCCTTTTGTATTGATTGATAAGTTTGTGTTCAACTGTCCCTCCTATCTCATTTGTGGTGGCGGTGGCGGCGGTGGCACCCCCATCATCGCTACTGGTGGTGGTGGATACGTCATCCCCATGCCTAAATTTTGTGGTGGTGGTGGTGGCGGTGGCATCATTCCCATGTCCATCATGTATCCTCCCTGATTAAATTGTCCTGGTATACCTGGTCCCCCTCCTGCTGCGGTAAAAGCAAACATTGTATGAGGTTTTAATTTATTTGGATTCCTCTGTGCTAACAGTCTTTCAGCTTCTGATCCATGGCGTTCATTTTGACTATCTTTCTTGAAGGCATATTGTACCACAACTTGACGATTGCATAAATATTGTCCATGCATGCATTCAATTGCTAAATCAGCTGCTTCAAAGGAATCAAAACTGACAAAACCAAACCCTCTTGATCCTTTTGTCTCTGGATCACGCATGATCTTTGGAGTCTCAATAATGCCACCAAATGCTGAAAATGTATCATACAGTAGCTTTTCATCCACCTCTGGATCTAAATTCCCTAAAAAGAGATTTGCACCCACATCGAGGCTTTTTTTCTCATTTGAGGCTTTTTTTACTCGAATGACTTTGCCATATAGTTGGATCATATTCAATACTTTGACCGCATATTCCGCACATTCTTCGGAACGAAATTCCACAAACCCGTAATTTTGATGACTACCAGTTACTTTATCACGTGGCATATGGACATTGGAAACACTACCAGCTTGAAGCATTAATTCCCATAATAATTCTTCACTCACACGATCATCCAAGTTACCAACGTAGACAGTTGCATCTTGATTCCGCTGTTCAATGGCGGCTGACATCCTGATAGCAAATGGATGGGTCGATTTACGAGAAAAAGTATGGGGTTTTTATCTATTGTATTGATTGTTGTTTGAATGTGACGAAGAAAACTATCAAAAGTTTCTAGATCTCTGACAATTAACAAGTACGCTTAAAAACGAACTTATCAAAACAAGAATGTAGGTCAATTGATTCTTTGTGCCCATTTTTCCTCCAAATTGAGCAAATTCTTCTTTACACATTCGATAAAACACGATTCATACCGTTCTTACTAGTTTCTTTCCTCATGGAGCTTTACACGCGTATTATAGCTCATGTACGTAAACGATACTTGGTTCATTGATAACAAGATGTATTTGCAATTGTAATACCGTTTACAATGCTTTTAATTCTACAAAATTGACGTCAGGAGACTAAATTTATCAACGTCATTCATATCTTGTATCATGATATAATTCGCATTAGAGTTTGCCCGTGGTAATAGTGGTGCTTATGGGCTATTGGATGGGAGACGGGCTAACGACTTATACAGTAAATGAAGGATTAGTATCAGCTCGAGATACATCGGGATTTTCATGGCGTCACGGAGATGCGCGGGTATTTAATTGGCATCCAGTGCTCATGAGCTTTGGCTTTATCTTTTGCTCAATGCAAGCAGCTCTCGTCTACATTTCACTACCTTTCAGTCATGAAATCAAGAAGGTACAGACGTGTAGTTAGAAGAAAAGGACGAGTTAAAGTGGTTGATTCGATGTGGATATATTGACAAGTGTTTTTGGTGTTTCCATTGTCATTGGATCATGCGTGATACAGCGTATTCACTTGTCGCTCCATGCTTTGGGCTTTATAAGTGCGAGCTTAGGAGCTCTTGCTGTCTTTCGTTTTCACAATGAACATAAGATTAAGAATCTTTACAGTCTTCATAGTTGGTTAGGACTGACGGGGTTGATTCTTTTTGCTACGCATGTACGTCGTACCCATAGTTTGTGTTCCTTTGGCTGTAGTGACGATTGTTTAATTTGTCCTTTTGATGCATCAGTGGCTGAGTAGTTTTGCAGTACTTTTCTATCCTGGAGCAAAGAGGACTGTACGTGCTGCTTTTACACCGTATCACATTGGAATTGGACTGTCCATTCTTGGTCTGGTAGTTGCTACGGTGGAATCGGGTATCTTGGAGAAACTCACGTTCAATGGCAGCTGCAACGTAAATGGCAAGCTGAATGGCGAGGTCGTGCAAGGTTATATGGCGCCGGACTGTTTGACAGGGAACATTATCGGCTTGCTGGTAGCTCTATCACTGGTTGCAGTGGTCGTTACAGTCTGGCACGCGAAACACACGGAGCAGGACGAGCTTGTGAAAGACGAGTTGACGCCGTTGCTACCGGACAGCTCGGGCGAGAAGCAGAATGAGGTCTTACTTTGAAAGACTTAACACGACTGAGTGAGTATGTTCACGTTGATGATCCATCGATAGCGAAGATTATAAGCCGTATCATCACTATTATCCTACAAAAACCTTGATGCCAAGTCCTTGCTCCATATTCTGCAGGGAATTATCCCAATAATGGTGATCGATTGTGGCCATGATGATCAAAAAGACGAAGTGTCATTGCTACAGTTGATGTATATAGGCGATGATCTATGTTGTGACTCGATCTATAACATACCAAATGTCGTCGATCGACCAATTGCATTTTTACATATTGAGACAATGGAACATGAGGACTTTTAGCTGAATATGGGTCAACTGGTATTGGTTTAATTGTGCCACACTGGATCATAAAAGTTTTACTTGTTTATTGTATGCGGTCACTGATTTGTAATAACTATTGTATCTGTCAAAATAAGTGTAGCCATCTTTTGCTTCGTTCTGACAAAATTGCTTGAAGGAACACGTTTTGAGTAAGTGAGCTGATGAAGTAAACGTAAAGTAGCCACTGTTTTTTTACAATTATTTAAAAATTCTAAACCGACTTTATGCTTATAATTATTTTTAATCAATCCAAATTAACCAAATATTCCAATCCGCACTTTCTCTCTTCAATAATTATCAGAATACGGTTGATTTCGTAAATGTTAAAACCAAAACACGGTTAGTCTACTTCCCTCACTTAATTTGTTCAAATTGTTACATGTGCCATCATGACGGCAGTAAGTTCTCCTGAAGTGCGAAAGCAACGACAACAATTAGCATATGCATTACAGGCACTCAAAGTATACAATCCAGACTTTGTCTTGACTCCTGAAGTACAAGAAATCATGCGTGCTTTTTTTGTAGATTTACAACCAGATGAACACGGAACTATCACGCGTGGTGCATTAGCAGATGAGATTGCGCGATTAGATCCAAGTATTGATACAAAACGATGTGTGCGACATGATATGATACTACGACGTGAAGAGCGTTTGGATTTTATTGCTTTTTGTGATTGGGTAATGCGTTGGAAGGTACAAAATCCGCAATCTGTACAAAATGTTTACACATCATGGGCAAGACAACTTGCAGCTTTGGATTTTGGCATGAGTGAAGGTGATAGTCTATTTTTAGATTTAAAACCGGAAGATGAACCATCCAATGAAATGCTTGCAATGGAAATTATACAATTATTGCAAATTCGACAAAAAGCAAAAGTCTTACAGAGGTTGCACGAAGGTAGCAACCACGACAAGAGTCTCAAGTATGATGACAACTATGATGCATCTCTTACTAGTAATGGTATTCATCCAGTCGATACGTTTGAAATAGATACAGCAAAAATACACCATGTTGATAATGTCAACATAGTGAACAAGAGATCCTCCATGCAGACCGTGTCTAAATCATTTCTCGCAGGAGGAATGGCGGGTATTGTAGCCAAGTCAACGTTAGCACCATTGGATCGCGTCAAAATTTTATTCCAAGTCAATGACCAGCGAAAATTCAGTTTTCGCAATGCTGCTCGGATGGCTAAAAATATTTACGTTCATGATGGTTTCCATGCACTCTTTCGAGGCAATATGCTGAATATTCTGCGAGTAGTCCCTTATGCAGGACTGCAGCACGCAGGGTTTGATTTTTTTAGGCATAGATTCCATGCGTACAATTACCAGAATGCCGAAAAAGACGGGATTGATGAGGTGCCAAAACTTAGTAATTTACAGTTGGTGACGGCTGGGTCACTGGCAGGAGGAATCTCTTTGGTTTTAGCATACCCGCTGGATATTGTACGAGCGAGGTACATGGTACAAATGGGAAAGCATCGTTACACTAGTATCTACGACGCTGTCATGACAATGTACAAGGTAGATGGTGTACGGTCGTTTTCGCGCGGACTTGTGCCGTCCTTGTTAGGCACGCTGCCGTACACTGGAATCGGATTTTCGCTGAATGAACGATTTAAGATATGGGTACGTACGTGTACTACGAAAGTTTACGCTAACATTACATGTGACAAACGGACACTATGCCTGTAGACGCTTGAGTTTCAGAGTCGTCGATTGGAACAGAAATGTGGAATAAGTGCACCCGAGCCAAGTCTAAATGCGCTGACCAAGTTTGTGTGCTCGTACTTTGCGGCATGCATTGCACAAACGAGTACGTTGTTTGTCGCTAGAACGAAGTGCATCAATTGGAGTGGTAGATTTGGATGAACTTATTATTAATGCTGTCATTATTCTTGTAGTCACATATCCGCTGGACACCATTAGAAGGCGAATTCAAACGGACGGCTATGTCACGAAATCTCAGGCAAAACTGCAATACACTGGTGTGACTACTACTGCCCGAATCATTTTAGCACGTGAAGGCTGGCGGGGCCTGTTCAAGGGTGTGTCAGTGAATTGGATGCGAGTAAGTCCTAGCTACTGTTTGTGCTGTGCTGACGTGTGAAATGGCTACTTTAACACTTACTTGCACGTGCCTGTACAGAGCCCCGTATCAACCGGCATTAGCTTAACGACGTATGATGTATTGAAGGAGCTAATGGGAGTCGAAAAGATAGAGTAATAAATAGCATGGTTGTTTCTCGACGACACGCAAACGTTATTACTTTCACGCAATTAGCTTCGTAAAAAAAAGCTGCGCTGGAGCAACGCATTAAGCGGTGGGTCAAGTGTACGAAACTGAAATCGTAGAGCTTGCTGGCAATTACTATTGTCGTAGTATTTGCAGCAGCAATAAAGATGTATCTCGTCTTACCTGTGCATCACGTTTCAACGTTACTCAATTTCATGTGTTATTAATCAGTCGTCAACGTTGTGTCACTACATGCAAACGATAGAGCCCTTTACAAACGTATCGCCACACTATTTGCCATGACCACCTTTCCATTGTCCAAGTGCGTCACTAAATGTCCTTCTGCTACCAAATCCTATATTACTGTTTGTGTGTCCAACCATTCGATCAGACATTTCGCTTCAAGATGATCACACTAACTATCATGTTCCAAATTATGGTCAGAGGCACGTAACACAAAACAACAAGTTACTTCCGGGGCGCCGAGCGATAAAATGCCACGTCCGAGAAGGTCTCCATCCGCTATTTATTGCCGAATACAAGCATTTTTTGCACACGTCACATGAATGTCGGTTTATATCCACATGTAGCTCATCTCGCTAACTTCCGCATCATCAATTTGAATTTGTCGAGTTGCTTATTGGTTGCATTTTGGGAGCACTTGGCAACTAATGCATATCCACTTCAAGGTGCTCTTGAAGTGATCCGTACAATCACTCCTAATTTCGCGAACGCGATTGTCACCAGATAGGACTTCATTATCGTCAATCGTCTCATTCCTTGTCATCTTGCCGGCTTTCAAAGCATGCAGTCAGAAAAGCACTGATATTCTGCTCTCGCGGATAACTCGATACTGTATTGCTTCGTAACACTTCTAATAAGTCGATTGAAGCTGACATCGCGTCAAGTACGTGGCAATAGCTGCACTTGCCATTAGAATGGTCTCCATATAATTAACTGGATTCCAATGTCATCCTGAGAAGACGATAATATACAAAAGAGCAGTAATGCAACTGCGACGAGCGTAGCAAAAGACCATAAAGTATTCGCAAAGAATATAAACTCGTTACGCAACCAGCTCGTATCAACACAGAAGCGACATTTTGTCCATCGTTTCGTCACACGCACGTATCGTATTGTACAACGGCGATTAAAAAACAGTGATTGCCTTCATTGGGCCGATCAATTCCGCTCGTGCAGTCGAATCAAATACGTCATTCTCATTCATCATTCTAGCCGCGTCATTCTTTTCTGCTAGAGACAGCGCACGTCAACGTGAGCAGATGCGTACAAGCGAAGTTCATAATGCAATTCCTGTGGCTCATAAGTTGATGGAAGTACGATGTACCATCCTGGCGAATACCGTTCAGATGCTTTAGCCAAAACACCGCAAGGGGCACCGCTGACGTATACGCCGTACGCGGATGTGGCACCTGCAAACGCTGCTTTCGGGTTTGTGGAAAGTAACATATGACCTTCTGACGTGCTTTTGAACACGGACACGTTAATTGATGGAACAATGGTAGCGGCTTCTGTTTGAGACTCACCTAGTGAGCCATCAATTTCTGGTTCCAGTACTAACAAACGCGCCAACATATCGCACTCCTGGGACACGTGTACCAAATATTTTGGATTAAACGTATAGCAGCCATAATTGGAGCAGCCGGCCGCAGAACCAGTTCCAATGTCCCACTTGCCATGCAGCCGAGTAAGCTCCATACCGTGGCCTTCAGGAAGTAGTTGGCGATAAACGATACTCGCGCCCGAAGGTGAATCACTTGCGACTTTCAGCGTGTAGTTACCGGCAGTGCCTTGCTCAAAAGTAGATGGAATCAGCACAATGTCATGCAAGCCTGTAGCAAGGGAGGCATCAATCTCGATAAAACAAAAACCTGGCCGATACTCGCCAGAACTCAGTACCTTTAACAGCTCTTTGTTCTCTGATGGCGTGTACTCTGCAGCATGTAAATCACATACACGCTCACGTACGTGCAATGCAGCACGTAAGTTTATAGGAAAGCTGACATCCGTACTATCCTTGGAATAAAACGCATCAGTCGTGAGGAACAGAAAAATAGATCGACATTGTCCCTGTAACTGCAAATGAACCTGAGGGTTATCCATAAATGTTGAGTAATACGGACGACCACCAGCGCTGGCAGAATCCCAAGCGCCGGTGATCACGATTGACGTAGGTACTGTTGTCACCAACTGTGGAATAGGCTCACACGTGAACGGCCGCGTAGAAAAAACGGACAAAGTGTAGTCTATGGCTGCAAACTTTTCGTACTGCGAAGCCACGAGAGTGAAGGACAGCTCCGACTCGTGTGCGAAATCCAGATCCAAGCTTACGAGCGTGTGTGGATTGTTGCTATACGTTCCTCGCGACACTGCATTACGATTGTAATACACGCGCTTTCCAGGTTCACCTCGATAAACATGAAGCGTAAGAAACTGCTGATTTGAGCAATCTACGTTGCGGTCAATTGTACTCATATGCCGCGACAGCAAAACCCACACGGTGCAAGAACCAGATGGCGCAGTCATTCCTTCTGCAAGTAGCCCGTTCTTGATGAATGTCAGAGAGTACTGTGGGTTAAACCCGAGTGTGAGCGAATCGTTCGCAGGTCCAAGCTCCACGGGCCAGTGCTCATGGCACACACCTTTGTAAGGAAATAGCTCAGGGTTCCAGTTCATATATAGGCTCTCGAAGTACCGTTTTACTGACTCAAAGTCAATCCAAAACAATCCGTCATCTTGTCGCTCCTCCGTTTCACTTTCCTCAGCTGCGTAATACTGTCGCTGGTATGCGCGCAACTCCTCGCCAATAGCACTGTTCCATCGCGTTTTATCGTGGCGCGAAAAGGGACCTTTCCAACTCATCTTGCGCCAGGGATTTTTAGCCTGAAGCAAACAAGTCTTTTTGCCATTCGAGTTTTGATCAGAGCTAGCAAGCTCATACACATTGAGAACAGCATAAACATGCATCGGCACAAGTCCAATTGCTTTGGCCTCTTGCTTGGAAACGTCTCCTGTGGATATTGTAATAATGCAGTCTCCGTAATGAAACGCGCTCTTCAATTGTTCCCAGAGTCTGTCTTCTTTGTTTGGTGCATCTAGAAGCTCAGTAATGGAAACTCGTTCCGGGATCCATCCTGTAAGAGCAAACAAGTCAATTCCAGAGTTGCCGCCAGGAAAGTCATACCCGCCGTTCAGTTTCAAGTAAGCCTTTTCAATAAGGCTCACCCAAAGTTCGTTCTTGTGCGTTGTACAGCTTGAAAGAAGTTGCCCTGAAGATGCATTGACAGGTAAAAAATCATCAATCACCACCTTTCGAGGTACACCGTTAGCCCACAACTTGACAACGTATTTTCCAAATGGATTGTATACTGGCTGCTTTGTCTGTAAATCTGCTGGAAAAATAATGTTTGTGATCAACCGCTTCTGAAATCTCTGTTCATAAGCTGCAGCAATACAAAGCGACGCTACGAATGAACAGTCCGTGACAATATCCTGCTTCACCACCAACGGGTTGACTCCTCCATGTGCTATCATCACCGGAGCATGGCCACACTTGACAGCATACTCGCTCGGCCGCATCCAGATCACATCCTTTTTTTGCTGCTTTACTGATAATGGCAGATACCCATCAGGATCATTATAAGGTGCTGGCAAACTAAACTTGTCCTGTGCATCTAAATCATTCAGCCACGGTACAAACAAATGTCCATTGATTTGCGATGACCTGCGCAACACATCAAGTTCCTGTGGTGTATACGCTGTCCTCACTTTCTCTTCCTTCTCCTTCTCCTTCTCCTTCTGCTTCTGCTTCGTCTCCTCTTTTGATAATAACGGTCGTGTACAACCAAATGTCGTATCAATAGACGTACATAATTGTGCTATATCTGTCTTTTTATTTTGCTGTAAATGTGGTGGTTCTGGCCATTGCAATGTCGTCTTGTCGACTTGATGATATTGTATCCTGATCTGATTCTGATTCTTAAGTTTCGATATATAGTCAATTACATACTCCAGTTGTTCCTTTACTGCTGCTTTAGCTCTTTTATCACTTGATGGCAATGCATTTAGTGCCTTCATGTAGCTTTCAGCTGTGGTAATATACCTGTCAATCACAATATCTACTTTTGCAGGTTCTACTTCCTCTTCTAATCGCTTGGCTATTGTATGTAATTCCATTGCTTGAGCCAAGAGAAAGTCACTTGTCTGCTGTAGCATCTGAATGCGCGTCTCGAGGTCATTAATCATTGGCTGCATTCGTAGACGCTGCGCTGCTGATTCAACAACTGATAGACGTTTAAGAATACACAGTCCTTTTTTAAACATTGACACGGACTGGACCATTTGACCTGCACGCTCTAGACTCTGCGCATGTTCAATTGCCTTCAGTGCCTCGGCATACTGCCGCTCTGCCATGGGGATGTTGAGAATGAAGGTCTTTAGTGCAACTGAAGGTAGTATGTAATTGGATAAAAAGAAAGCAGCAAAATGCTATAATATGAGTGGATGAAATTAAAAACAAAAACAACGATTCGCTAAAACTCATTGTGAGGCCAGTACCGACGTACATTCCTTTTCCAGCAGACATTCTAAGACTAAGACATACGTACGACGTATATCATGAGCAGTAAAGACAAAGCATGGAAACCTTTTGTGAAATTTGAGTATCAAAAATTGCTACCAACAGAGTTACGTAATAAGGTATATAATAACGCGTCTATTTCATCTCCAATATCTCAGTCATCAAGTGTCTTTTGTTTTCTCATATGTTAAATGTATGAATTGTTATTGTGATTCGCAGTTGCGCAAGTGGTTGGTGTTTACAGAGGCGACAGGTACTAAACAAGTTTACCAATCCCCTACGGTCTCGCAAGGTTATCGCTATCCATCACCTGATAAGCAAGCAGAGGGTGTCTTTGTACCTTCCAGTGACTCCAAGGACAGCATTTATAATATCAGTTATTACACACGCGATATTCGTCGCTTTCCGTATCCAATGGAAGTAGGTGTCCATCCATCTATTCCAGTGGAGAAACGTGCTGAAATACCAGCAGATGCAAAGCGTGGCTCACCTGGAAACAAGAATCCAGCTGTATTGAGTTACGATCCAACGGGCACACGCTCAGCCATGTCTACGACCCACGAAGCTCGTGATAAACTCATTATGCAGCATGTTTCCACGCACAATGTGCGTTTTGAATGGGAAGGTGATAGTGAGAAGGACATTGTGGAAGATAATGAGGCAAAGAATGTACCACCGACGCCTGGTCGTCCCTTTGTATGGGATTTTCCTACGCAGAGTCGCATTATGCGCTGGTAAATGTGACTAAAGGCAGAAAATGACAATAAGGAAAGAATGTTACTGACTACTGATTGGCTGAAATCTTGTAACCATGCCATATCGCATCTCTTTTGTTCGTAGCACGAGTCTGTGAGAATAATCATTTAATCAAACGCTTCTCCAGTCATAGATCGATCATGCAGTTCACTGTAATCGCCGAATTACCAACGCTACCCGCACCTGAGGTCGTAGCAAAGACTGACCAGTCCATTACACTGCGTGTGCAACATAAATTATCTCAAATGAATGGCAAGATGCAATATAAATTACAAGCGGTTAGTCATTATATCTCTGCAGAGTTTAGATGGAATTCTAATGTTTATTGATACATTTGTACTAATGTATTATTACAGAGTCATAGTGAATACGGATATGTTTACTATTCATGGCATTATTCAGGTCTTTTTACTGGTAATATATTTCCAGTGAAAGGTCTTACTCATAATACGGTACGACGTGAAAAAATTGTTTTTTCTTTTATATGACCGAACGATGGTTTTTTATCCAATTTATTACGCAAATCTTACAATAGAAATTTACAATGAAAAATAATCATTTCCTGATATGTATACATTGTATACGTAGACCTATGTATTCCGTATACGCGTGGTAAATGAAGCTACTCGGCAATGCGGTGAGTGGTCACTACCAACAATGAATGTACGTACATTTACAGAGGAAGAGGATGCCAAGCGTTCAGGGACTGTGTTTGAGCATGCTCTTAAACTAGAGCGTGAGCAAAAGAGCATTTTACAGAGTCAAATTTCCAAGCTTACTGGCATGCTCGAAGAGCGTAAAACAGCACGGGGGAGTGACAAGAAGGTTCAATTGCACGAGGATATGCTCGCTAGTCGTCGTGTTATTGATACGAGACTTGTGAAACTACAGCAGGAGCTGAGTGCTCAAACAGCAGCTTTGCAGACAATCAAGAGCCAACGCGCTGCTGATGAAGAGATGATCACTGAGTTACTAAATGAACAGGAGACACTGCGTCGTGCACAGAGCAAACAGCAGGGACAAGTGCAGTATGAGCTAGAGATGCAGACACTACGTGCACAATTGGAAAGGAACAATGAAGCACTATGTAAGCACAAGGAACAGGTAAATGCAAGTCAGGAGCAGATTATAAACTATGAAGCGTCGTTGGAGGCAAAGAAAAGTGAAATCTCGCAGAAGGAGGAGGAAGTGGAGAGGATAATGGCCGACTGCAATCGTATGGTGCAGGAGCAAGCCGATTTAGCTCACGTGAAGCAGCTGGAGGTTGAAGATGCTCTGCTGGAAGCCAAGACGTCGTTGGAGCAACAGCTTGATATTAACACGTATTTGCGCGAAGAGGTCTCGCGTTTGCGTGAGGAGAATCATCACCTGAAGAATCAAATTGAAGAAGTAGACTCGGAAATTGTGCCCAAGCTGGTCCGCCTCGAGGATGAAAACGAACAGCTGCGTGCTCAGCTTAGTCGACACTAAAGTGTCGAGATTCATGGTGCACCATGCAGGTATTTGCATTGCAAAGTGGTTTATTCTTTGGGCTTTGTAGGTGAGTAGTATCCCTACTACCTTCGTAGTGCTTCGTCAGCATTACTTTACTCTTATCTATACATATCAGTTAAATAGCTTGATTCCTTTGCTTCACTCAAACTTCCTTGCTTCGTATGCAGTCGTGTCACTTAATATTGCTTCTTAGAATCCGTGGTCTTCGTCGTCCTCGTCAAAGCCGCTAAGTGTGAAAGCGTCAGCGGCACCTAACGGTGGTAATCTTGATGGAGGAGAGCTTACCGAAAGAGCTGGAGACGGTTTAAACATGGTACGTGAAGGCAGCATGCGTTTTACTGATGTGCGGCCTTCATCGCCAAAGCCTTCACCGTCGTACGACGAACTTGCCGACATGTTGCAAGACCGACTGAGATTGTCCATGTAGCCATCAGCGTAATAAGAAGAGTTTACGGAACATGTTTGATTTGTCACGCTTCCAGCCATGTTAGCGTCCTCTTGTACCAGATCCTCATCTTCTTCACTGTCTTTTTCTTCTTCTTCTTCTGCGTCCTCGTGCATTTGCCGAACAGTGGCCTTTACAGACTCCAACAATTCGCAGTTTTCACTCGATGTCGGGTCAGCGTGTTTCCAATATAAGTACAAAGGCCCAACATATCGAAAAGATCGGCGCAAAAGATATGGATCGAATGGAAAGAAAGTCTCAAGAGGTTGCCGTTGACTAAGCAAAGTGGAAGAAGAAGCCGATCCCGCTGTAGGCTTTTTTTGAGCGTTCCATTGACTTAGCCGTTTTAGTACTAGACGCAGAGACTGCACCAATAGCCAGATCCACACATTCGAGACATTCCTCTGACACCAAATCGAACGCCTCCACCAGATTCAAGAACTCGGTGGCCACCGTTTGCTGGCAATATGCCAGTGGACAGTAGCCGCTACTAGTGACAATAAGTCGCTCCCAGCCAAGGCTACGCAAAAATTCGTAGCCAGCACCATCGTCGCTGGTGGCAATCTCCAATCCTCGGAAGCACATCATGTAGCACACAGTCTGCAGAGAGGAAATGTATATACTCTCCTGAAAGCTGCGTCCTTTTGTGTTCTCCAAACTTGCAGCCCCCTCCAGCAGCCGCTCTTCTCTTTCAGCAGCGGTTTCGCCAACCCTACCGTTCTCTTGTTCTTGCTGTTCCTGATGCACTGCATCGTAGATGTCCATCTGGTCATGCAGCCACTTCAGCAGGTGATACAGAGCCTTCTGAAGATACGCAACAGAAATGTACTTGGCGCGAGCGAGAAAACTAGCCAAGTAGGCGCCACAGCTCTGACGTGTGGTCGGTGGTGTCTGTGGGTCTAGTGACGAGGCCAACAGTTGAGAAATGAAAACGTCCTGAAACTGGGAATCCAAGCAGCACACGTAAAATAGCAAAAATTGCGGGTACTTAGACCGATGAGTGTTAAGGATAGAATGCTCAAACACTTTAAGTAGATCCTTGAAAACAAGTGCGGCTTGGCGCACGTCCACATTCTTCCCACTGTAGCTATCTTTAGTAGTTGCTGCCATCTTAGAGGACGTGATTGGATTCAATGCAGCAGACTGCTCAATGTGCTCAAACATCACAAGCATCATTTGATCAAGCTTTTCTGCCATTTCGTCCACTTGACACGAGGCATCATCAGGTGGCAGCAAATCATCATTCAGAAAATCGTCCATTGTGAAGACGTCTTCTTCACTCTCGTCCAATTTAATCTCCACATCAATCGCCACTAACTGGTCGACCACTAGCCCGAGCACACGCTCACGAAGTCCTCCAACATAACTCGTCACGTGCAAGATATTCCGTAGATATCCCACCTGAGTGATTGCGTCCATTCGTTTGTGAGGAAAGTGTTCACACAAGACAGGAAACAGCACATTTGTTGCAGTAGGCACCAACGTAAGTACACGCTCGAGTGTGCGATGTGCTATTTCAAATCGCGCCTGGATACGAACGTCCAGACTTGCCCCAGTTTGTCTTTCCTGTCCCGTCTCAACAGCAGACATCAACACAACACTATTAAAAGAGCCGCCTTCTGTCGTAGCCAGGTTGACTGCAGCTTTCTTGACCTCTTGTTGTTGTTTCTTCTGCTCTGTCGCTGCAAGAGCTCGCAACTCAAAGGATAATAGTTCCTTATCCTGTGGACGACGCATGTTGCGTACAAGCATGTGTAGAGTTGGTACAACGTAGACGGTATTAGAAGACACCAAGTGAACAATAAAGCTCAAATAGTCTTCCATTTCGTCTGGATCATCCGTAGCCAGTAGATTAAATTTAAACAGAATATCCAGTAATGCTTCATACGCCCTTGGTTCTCGTGATATGGTAGAGATACAGCGTGGTAAAGCACGAAAAATCTTACGACGTGTAGCAACTGGTGCCGGTAATAGCGTCAACTGCTGAATTAAATACTGATAGCTCTTGGCATTCCCCTAATAAAAGCGAAATTGTATCAGGTGTTTGTATATACGAATAAAAGAAGCTGTAAAATAAAGCATTTTTTTGACCTTAACAAGTAACGCTAATGCATTTTCAATGAATCGATGCATACTTGTAATCTCTTCTTCCGTTGGTGTCACTGCCATGGGCATCGTCGAAGGCAAGAACGTCTCACTTCCAGCCATTTCTTACACGCCAAGAAATTATGTTTGTCACCTTTTATTAGAATATATTTTAAAGGGACTTTAATCTCTATTTTAAAGACCTTTTGCATTAGAGATCTTTATTCAAGCCGTGACTTTATAATATCCTTGGCATACTGTATCCTGGACTCTAGTGACTGATGCTACGGCTTGTTCTTTTATGTGTGAGTGATGATGATCCTGGAGCATCAAACCATACACCAAATGGATATTCCGACGCTCCTTTAGGTGGTATTACATTAGGAGGACCCACACTATTGAGAATACTGCACATGATTGATACATCTAGACCATACTTGTCTGCCAATACTTGGGGTGTCCAACTTTCAGGATTTTCATAATACAGACGCAACAACGTTCTCAACTCTCTTGCTGTTAGTCGACCTTGAATGTTCTCTTCATTAGCGCCTCCGATACCAGTCGAGGATGCAGCAGTTGTCTTGTCAGTCGGAAGACGAAGAGGCTGCGACGACCTTGGACGATAACTACTAGCAGTTGCCTCAAAGGCTCGCATATTCTCCTTAAGATATTTCACGTGTTCAAAGTCGTTAATCTTCTCGACATGTTGCAGCATTTGCTGTGGCATCTCCACAAGTTTTAGCTTGGAATCAGATATATCAATCGATACTGACAAGGGTTTCGTGGCCGTAGATGAAGCTGAAGTAGGGACAATAGAACGTGATATGGCCATCAGATGCTCAAGAGAGACATTTGTACGTATTACTCGAGGGGGACGAGAGACAGAAGCTAGAGATAATGACGACGACGTCTTGCTTACGGCTGCACCCATCTAGAACAACACAAAATAGAGAAATAGAGGAATAGAGGAATAGAGGAATAAAGAGGGTAGATAGAGATATCGGAATTAGACGGAATTCTACTTCGGGTTTTGTGTTATCAATTATATTGATATAGTGCATAACATGACTGTTACAAACATTCGACATGCATCATTTCTCTGCTCTTTGAGTCATCCTTCACTGTAGATCAATCCTATTTGATCATCAAGTCGTGCAATGCCAATGAGATATTTCCCTTCAATTTGAAGAGGTGATCGGTCTTGCGTTCATTTGTTGAAATGTCGTATCGACCATCACTCATTGGTCTTTTCCCGCTGTCGTGGGCTGCTACATGGAGAAAACACAAGATCGTCACACGCGCCAATCCAATTTGTCCAGTGTCTTCAAGCGATCAGCGATCATTTCGTGCAGATTGTGCAGTAGCTACTACCTTTCAATGCCGGTCTGGTTGTCCAGCAACAGTCGCGTCTTTTTTCTTTTCTGGGCACCATCAGATAGCCATGAAGCCTTGTTCGGTGTGTCTTCCAAGATGTTCAACGCACGCATCTTTAAGGAGTAAGAAATGGGTCCGACGTACACTTCTGCTGCTGCTCCTCATCTCTCATCAAAGTGGCAGCAAAACCTGGAGGTGGGCGGGTTGGAATTCGTGGAGGCGATGGGCTCTGCACCTCAGCCTGGCTCGCTGGTGTAGAGGTGCCTAAGAACACACTCAAGCTCGAAGTCCTCTGCTGGTACAGAGCCGATTCACGCTCTACAGCTGCCAAATCAGCCATGGGTGCAAAATATTGGCTTTCTTCAACGCGGTTGCTCAAGCCATGGCTCTGTGCATCATTATTTCTTCCAGAGGTGGCTGAAGGCATCATAAATTCCGTGTTTAGGCTACTGAATGGCAAACCCAAACCAAAGCCTAGACTTCCCCCTAGTATGCTGCCGTTGCCGTTAGTATCGCTGCTCTTGATGCTGTTTCCCCACCCTGTCAGATAGGTCTCACTTGAAAAGCTACCACCATCGTTAAATGTGTTAAAGCTAGGGTAGCCAAGTGATGAACCAAACGAACCATGGCCAGTGCCAAACGCACTACTCTTGCTGCTAACGCTTGCGTCGCTTGCAGGGCCCTTGTCGTCTGCTCGTGAGATTGGACTCGGGGCTCGGAGGCTAAATGTACAATCACCAGACAAAGCATCCAACGGAGAAGGCGCACTTGTTGCATAGTCAAGAAGTTGTTTGCTTGAGTGGTCTCCTGACATTTCTCTTAACACTGGCGACGGTCTAAACACGATCACCTCGTCTTCAAAATCGTCGTCCTCGTCCACGCCAGAGCCAGCTTGGCAACCGTTGCCAATAGCTTCCTGTACTTCTGTATGCTGCTGTTTAACGTTGTCGGTCGACAAAAATCCCAGGTTCAGTAAATCCAATGCACTCGGCGTCTCATTTTCTTGCTGAAGATCTCCTTTTCCGGCCAATGGTGACGTCGTAAATTGTCCCGATGCATTATAGAAAAGCAACGGGTTTCCCTCGTAGCCGTCGCACAAATAATGCGCGAAGTGGTACAATCTCCATGCACGAATTTTGGCTGCTTTATCATCCAACAAGGGCGTCACTTGTGAGGCACCGTTTGCTTCAGAGGTCGATGTTTGCAGCGCCCATTCATACTGCGACGTTAAAGCAGCACCATGTTCCTCAAGCGGTGCAAATCCTCGAAGCTCAAGGTTCTCCTTTAGCAGATGCTGTTGTTCACAAACAGCAAAAGGCAGACCGTCTTCTTCACGCTGGTCAGCACTTGAAAGCAATGGAGCATACAATTCGTAAATGCGTGCATGGTTCACAAATTTAGCCAAAGTTGCAAGGAAAACGGATGCAAAGTGGTCCGCGGTTGCTCCTTGGTTATTCGTTGCCACATCGCTATAAAGTTTCTTCGGGCAATGTACAAAAAGCTGCTCCAGTTGTTCCAGCATATTTAGATGCAGTTCCAAATAGCGACAGAAGATTGCCACGGGTCCTGAAAGTCGAAGTGCCGAAGTGTTCGACAATTTATCACTTGCACCAGAGTTCGGCTTGCTGTCCAAGCTATCCAGAAGAAACTCCAGAACACAGGTGATCGTACGAATCGAAAGACGAAGAGCATCCTCGATTGGTGCAAATTGGGAGCGCGAGTCCGAGGCTCGAATGATGCAAAAGATGTTCGTAACCACAACTTTCAGCAGCAACGCATCTCCAACCACACCTGCATGCAGAAGCGTCCGCATATCCTTGAACAAAACTGCCTCCATATCACGCGGATACATTGGCACCGTCTTTTGATTGCTGGTACCGCTAGCTGACGAAGCTGTGGGGGATCCGCGAGGCGAAGAGAGAGCAAACAAGATGCCATGCATTCGCGTAAGTCGGTGCAAGTAGCTCTTCAAGAGCGCCGACTTTTCCTTTGCAGACGGAGTCGACGTAGTAAACGTAATAGGTGCAGCCAATGGACGCTGACGGCTGCGCTCAAAGAGCAATGCGAGGTTTTCCTCTGCTGTTGTAAAAGGCTGCGATGTTAGCAGACTCCTACAGTAGTGATACACTGCCACGGTCTCTGCCTCGACATATGTCGCCAATACTGCCAATTGATTGTGCGGATTACCGTTTTCCGGTAGTACCGCCAATGCACGATGGTACAGCGCCTCAGCCGCTGCAAAATTCTTCTTAGCCTTCTGACTGTGCAGTTCACGGTATCGTGCCAAGTCTCCTAAAAACACATAGCAACGGTGTAAGCTATGGCGACAGCATACGATGTCAGAGGCCGCAGCGTCGCTACTATTCGTAGGAGCCGCTCCAAGCTGATTTTGCTGTAGCCACGAAGCAAATACATCTCTTAAGTGTACGTAAAAGCCTGATGCTTCCGTCAAAAACTGCTGAAACTCGCTTGATACACGTGCAAAATGCTCGCGTACGTTCCGGTCCGTCTGTGCTGCTGCCGCGTATTTGCGAATACGACGGCGAAAGTCTTCAATACGACGATAGAAACACGGTTTCCAAAGTGCCAATTCAACTTCCTTTGATGCTGCAAAGGTTGTATGAATGTCCACTAGACGCAAAGCAGCATCCATGAATCGACGACGTAAGACATTCGCGTCTTGAGTGTTGAGTGGATTGGCACGTAATAAATCCCGTAATTTCTTGTCAAGTGTCACCATTTCCCTATTCAAAATAGCACGTTATGATACATAAAAAGACAGTATAAATAGAGTAAAGGAGAATCATTTACATGTAGGCACGACGCGAGTCCATGGTGCTTAGTGGCCTTAATGCCGACGCTGGTTTGGTTGACGAGTTTGTTACAACCGAAACCATTTAGAAACGTTTCTACCGTTAATGTTACGTTTCACTTAAGTACGCCACGATTTTGGCAAATAATCGTATTCAATATATCTGTATATCAGTTTTGCTCGATTATCGGATAATCTTTGATGTCATTCAGGCTATGTAACGGGATTACACGAAGGTGTGTATTGTACATACACACCTGCCGGTGTGGCTGTACCTTGGGTACAAAAGTAGGTGATGTGACCGTACATAAGGTACGAAGGGTCGCATCGTGGCAGAAAGCCACGTGGTCACTGTACTTATTTAAAGTATAGTGACTATGTATGGTTGCATAATAATAACAGGCTATAGAGCCAGTAAATAGTGACAAGCACAAGTATAGAGTAGGTGCTTCTATATTTAGTGTTAGAAGATAAACATAAATATAAATCGGTTTCAAACCTGCTCTATAAGCATCACTGCTTGAGCGTTCCATTCCTCCTGAGGAATTTGTATCTTTGATACTCGTCTATGTCGATTGGGCTAAGGGTCTTTGTTCAGGTTATAATAAATGCAAACTTGGGCTCACATCTTACAGCCTAGCCTATCTTACCACCATTCATCACACAAAACGCTGTAGCGTAATTCCTCGCGCTGTCTATCGCTGTTGATTACACATGCGTGGCCACAGCCAATGCTTTGATACTGTCGTAGCCGTTTGTCTGCGTCGAGGAAACACTTACGTAGCCTGTGACCGAGCTACTTTAGCCACGCTAGTTATGCACTATGTGCAGAGGATGTAGCCGAGCTACTGTAGCAAAGCTACTTATGCACTATATGCAGAGGAAGACAAGCTCAGAGAGCTTCTACGTCTTAGGGTGCTTAACCTTTCCTAGGCTAGCTCGTAAGCTTGTGCCTATCGGTTGTTATAACCGCGTCTCAAAGAGACTAGGGCTCGGCGCGCACAATTGTGTGGGCCTGAATTGTCCTGAGGTATAGAAACTATTTCAAGAATTACAGAGTACCAAGGAACAAACTGTTCATGTTAAGGCAGGAACTTTGATGCCATAGACTTGAAAGACATCTTCTTATAGTTGTGCCTATCGATAAGCAAGTGCAGTGAGCAACTTGTGTCAAATCATCTGCTAGACAACTTCTAGTAGGCGTATTACTAGTATAACATTGCACAGTTTGATGATACCCAAAGTCGCCGTGTGCTACTTATTTGGGTTAACTAGCTATCGACAATATATCGCGTATATGGGCTCAACGGCTGTATTGCAGAGGATATATTGGCGCCCTATCACAGTCCTGAGTGTGCCTCAACCCGCTTGAGCCCGGGTGGGCCTATTTTGCAGCGAAGCTACAAGTCGCATTCGCAACATTGCAACTCGATTGCATTCTGCTATTATCCATGCTTTATGACAATGTGAACTATAATGTCAGATACTTGACTGACGGCCTTTAATAGTTGTGCCCACCGATAAGCAAGTGCAGAGAGCAATTTGTGTCAAATCACCTGCTAGACACTCATTTAGTAGACGTTTCACTAGTATAATTGCACAGTTTGATGATACCCAAAGTCAACGTGTGTAACTTAAAATTGTAACGGGGTCGTAGCGTTACACGCCATATCAAGTACGATATGCTCGTTATTCTGCATAATTAGGTAGACAACATTGAGAATGTTTACATTTATAAGGAAAAGGATGAGATACGAATAGCGTATCTTTTAGTGTCATTATTTGATTGGTTGAAAGTGGGGCTAGCCTTGTTTCACTTAATTAATATTTGACGCGTATTTGGTTGGTTCACAGAAGGTTTAGAACCTTAGATTAAGCCTTTATAATAAAACAAAGTTTCAAATAGTCTTTAGTACGCAAGTAAATTGCATACTTTTACGCTTCCTCGTAAGCCCTGTGGTGTAAGCTACGTAACGGATCTCTCACCCCGTTACACTTGGAAGCACTTCGTAGTCCTTCCAACGCGATGGATGACGACATGCTCCTCGAACCTGTCATGGAGACACTGGAACACGGTTCGTTTACCCACCTCACGCTAGTGGAGTGGGAAGGCCTTCACAGCTTCGCAGCGGTGTCTGGCCAAGTTGTTGTTACGACGCTGCTGAACGCAGCGTCACCGAGCCAGCAACGTGATGCCGTCCAAGCATTCATGGTACGCGAGCTGCCGACTCGATTCGGCGACCTCGCGTTCTCCAAAAATTGGAGCGGTCACAATGAAGACGTCCCTCTACTCGGGTGCGGGTACAGATCGTCTCCCACACAATCTTTGTTCTAGGTGGATCGATATCGCTATCGCCCCAAGACTTATCGAGGTGATGTCATCGAAGGCTAACTTACTCCTCTCACGACTGACTGGTAAGGCAAAGAGTGCGCTTTGGGAAAGCTTATAGTCGACCAGTACGCCTTTCCACTGTGGACGCGCTCCAGAGTGACCTGCGACTAGCTTTTGAGCCACCACAAGACGAGTCGCGCCTACGCATCGAGCTCTTAAATCTTAAACAAGGCAAGATATCCATGCGCGACTACGTTCAATGAACACGGCATCTGGCTTCGTGCATCATCACAAAGCCGATCGATATGGCGTCTCAAGTTCACGTCTTTGTTTCAGGCATGCGCGAAGGCATGACGAGATACTGCCTTACGCGCGCCGAACCTCCTTCTTTTGAAGAGGCTTTCGTTCTTGCGCTTTGGAAAGGCTATGTCGTGGCTTCTTCATACGCCAAGACCTTGATGACAGACGCCCGTGCATCGGCTCCTGAGCCAATGATAATCGACGCAGTAGAAATCATCGAGGGCTCGACGCTCAATGCCTCCGCGTAGTAGTGGTGTTCGTTCGGAACGTCTCTTGGTGTGTTTCCGTTGTCGCAAACCGGGTCATCGCGTGGCGGTGTGCCGCGAGCCATCTCGCGTTCTCGCCGCTGTCAAATCCGGAAAACATGTCGATCCGCCTTTGAAGTCAAAAAAACGGCGGCGACCAGTAGGCGCAAGGCGCCCTACTGGGCGAATTGGAAGAAACGTACCCCCGGTGTTGACTCCTTCTTCGATCCCCGCTGCGCTCCATGCGCAGCTTAATGCCAGACATGGCAAGCGACTGATTATACTCAGTGTGTATGTCGACGGCGCCAGTCGACTCCTTCATGCTTTGCTGATTTCAGACGCGACGAATAACTTTATTCGCACTGAAAGTTTGAAGATGCTCTCCTCGCGGCTGTGTGTCCGCGAGCAATCGGGAGAGATGACCGTCTGTATGCTGACGGCAAGCCACGCAACTGCGACAGCATTCGGTGGTTGTGCCGTATCAATTTGACGGCTTTGTGAGCAGTGATGAATTCCTGGTAATTGACCTTAGTGGATGATTCGACTGTAGTTTTGGGATGCCGTGGCTTGCACGGCATCATTCGGACATCGATTGGCTGAATCGCACGGTTCCGCCACGTGATATCGATGTCACCGCGGTTCTCGCCCACCTCTCCAGGTCGGCAAAACATGGCCGCACGCGCCGTCGTGGACCCATACTCCACGATATACACCTCCAGAAAAAAAGAGCGATGTCCCTTTGTGCCCGGTGTGCAACCACGCAACTTGCGACCCTCAGTTGAACAGTGGTTCCTGAGTCAAGAAACCGCACCGACACAGTGGCGTTCGGTGCGTAATGAGCAAGCAGTGGCTCCAACGCGTTCTGGTCAGCAGTGGCCTCCGTTCGCCCTGATGAAACACCAGCGCAGTGGCGCTCGGTGTCCGAGATTAGGTCGAACAGATTTTTTTTGAGTCGAGTGTAGTTGTGGTCGAGCAGGGGCTCCCACAATTCAAGCCTAATGCGACACCCCGGCGGTCAACGTCTCAGCGCCGTCGAGAGCGACGCGCGCGTTCAAGTTCCCCACAGCAAGCGCGATTTGCCACGCCTGCTTCAGCATTCAAAACGATTAGCGTGATGAAATTGACTGGTACAGGTCCCAGCAGTCATTTGCTCCAAGTCACAAGTCCACCTTGCGACGCATATGGCATCACGCAGCTACCGGAAGTGTCTTGGATGAGATACTGCGTGATCTTAAGAGGTGGGGAGATCCAACAACTATGTGTTGTTGTCGACGAGACGACGCTCGCTAACCACGATCGGCCTGAAGGGATGGAGACAAAGTCAGCACGCGAAGAGCGCTTTGCGGTGCAGTCATGCAATGAGCTCGCGTCCACAAATAATCCGGTTATCAAACTGGCAAGAGAGTTTGCTGATGTTTTCCCGGAAAAGGTTCCAGCAGTCCTGCCTGCTGACCGTGGTGTACGGCAAGAGATCGATCTCGTGTCAGATTATAAATATTGTGTTACGCGGCAGTGGCCGCTTCTCCGTGACCAAGTTGATGCAATTGACACCTTCTTTAAAGGACGAAGACAGGCCGGTCACGTCTGTGAGAGTGTCTCTCCACACTCGAGTCCCAACTTCTGTGTTAAGAAAACTACCGGAGGTGGCGGATTGCTCACGCCTTTAGCAAGCTGAACGATGCTGATCCCTGCACAGACCCCGATTCCGCGGAAGGACATGGTTTTGGAAACCATGGCGGGCAGCACGATCTTTTCTACTCTGGATTTGACGGACGGATTTTATCAAATCCTCATGCGTCCAAAGGACATGTCCCTAACAGCGGTTAGTAGTACACCCAGCATAATGCTCTGGGAATGGCTCGTAATGCCGCAAGGGCTTTAGAACGCCCCTGCTACCTTCAATCGTATGGTCTCGCATATTCTGTGGCCATTTCGAGACTTCGCGCCTAGCTATTTCGACGATATATTCGTACACAGCCGCGCCGCTGAAGGCGCGACGGACCTTGACGTTCATTTGGGTCACCTCCGTAAGGTATTCAAAGCTATGCGTGCAAATAATCTGTACGCGAACCTGAAGAAGTGTATCTTCTGAGCTCTAGAGATCCCTGTGCTAGGTTCCTACGTTAGCGCAAAAGGTGTTCGCGCTGACTTCAGAAAGGTCGCGTTAATCTGCGCGTGGCCGGAGCCAACGAACCCGAAGCAATTGCG